CTGGAGAAGTTTTTGAGAACTCTTTTCCAAATATGAATCCTCACGTTCCTGCATGTTATGAGAAACTGCATTTTTTTTTAGTTACTTTGCAAGTATTTCTAGGATTTGAAGCCAGGGTTAAGATGCTGTTTAGTATCTGAAGAGCAGATCTGGGTAGGTGCACAGCTGGGTGGGGTTTGGGGATTTTGGTCAGGTGGGGTGTGGGGAGGCTCACTGCTCCAGCTTTTTGGCCCACGGATGCTCCATGGCTTTCCCTTGACTGGGCTCCCAGGCGCAAGGAGAAGCACGAGGTGCAGGTGGATCACCGGCCCGAGTCGCTGGTGCTGGTGAGAGGCAGCCACACCTTCAGGCTGCTCAATTTCCTCATCAGCTGCCGCAGCCTGGTGGCCGTGGCGGGGCCGCAGGCGGGGCTGCCCCCGACGCTGCTGTCCCCGGTGGCTTTCCGGGGCGGGACCCTGCAGACGCTCAAGGTGAGGGACGCGGCGGGCTCCGGGAGCGGGGGGAGCGCTTCCTTACCCAGGGAATCAGCCCCTGGCTTGGTGAGGCTCCCCTCAGGCACCACAGCGGGACATTTGTGGCTAAAGCCTGAGTCAGCATTTTGTCTGCAGGCACAGCCCGTTCCTAAATCCCTGCAGCACATCCCTGCCCTGAGCTGACATCCCAGCGTTCCCTTTCTCACCTCCCGGCACACAAGAGCCTGTGCAGGGCTGCCCAGAGGGAAGTGGCTGTTAAGATTCTCCCCAGATTTTAATGGCTCTCAGACTATCCCAGCCCCTCGCATGAGGAGCCCCTGAGGCACAGCTCACCCTCTGTTCCTGCAGGGAATGGTTTGGACTGGGAGGGACCAACCCCTGCCACGGCCAGGGACACCTTCCCCTATCCCAAGTTGTTCCAAGCCTTGTCCAGCCTGGCCTTGGACACTTCCAGGGATCCAGGGGCAGCCCCAGCTGTGCCAGGGCTTCCTCACCTTACAGCCAAGAATTCTTTCCCTATATCTAACCCAGATTTCTTCCCACTAAGAACAGCATCCAGTCACTTGTTCCACCAGAGAAGTTCATCCTGGTCTTGTGCACTTCCCTTCCCAGTCCCTGCAGCATTCCTGCAGTCCAGGAGTACATTTTAGGAGTTGTTACAGGGACATTCAAACCTCACACATCGCTCAGGGAGTGAACAATCCTGAGAAGCGTTTCCATTTTCAGCGGGGCTGTGGCCCTGTGGTGTCAGAGTGGTGACAATTCCCGGCTGTGCCGTGTGTGACCGCGGTGTCCTGTCTGCCCCCAGGCTCGCACTGTCAGCGGCCGTGCCCGGGTGCCGGGGGGCTTTGAGGACGTGTTCAGCCTGGAGGTGCTGGGGCCGGTCCTGCCGCACGCCCTGCACGCCCTGACGCTGCTGCTGGGCCCGGCGCAGCGCGGCTCCTTCCGCGCCCTGCTCAGCCCCCACGAGCCCAGCGCCGCCTTCAACACCCGCCCGGGCCCGCCCCAGGTGAGGAGGAGCGAACACCGGGATAGCCCGGGGTAGGGAATGCACACCGGGACAGGCTGGGATGGGGAGGGCACACCGGGACAGCCCGGGATGGGGAATGCACGCCGGGACAGCCCCGGACAGGGAATGCACACCGGGACAGGCCCGGGACGGGGAATGCACACCGGGACAGGCTGGGATAGGGAATGCACACCGGGACAGGCTGGGATGGGGAATGCACACCGGGACAGGCTGGGATAGGGAATGCACACCGGGACAGCCCGGGATGGGGAATGCACACCCGGACAGACTGGGATGGGGAATGCGCACACCGGGACAGGCTGGGATGGGGAGGGCACACCGGGACAGGCTGGGATAGGGAATGCACACCGGGACAGGCTGGGATAGGGAATGCACACCGGGACAGCCCGGGATGGGGAATGCACACCCGGACAGACTGGGATGGGGAATGCGCACACCGGGACAGGCTGGGATGGGGGGCGCACACCGGGACAGCCCCGGGATGGGGAATGCGCACACCCGGACAGACTGGGATGGGGAGGGCACACCGGGACAGGCTGGGATAGGGAATGCACACCGGGACAGCCCCGGGATGGGGAATGCGCACACCGGAACAGCCCCGGGATGGGGAATGCGCACACCGGGACAGCCTGGGATGGGGGGCGCACACCGGGACAGGCCAGGACAGGGACTGCACACCGGGACAGGCCGGGACGGGGAATGCACCCCGGGACCTTCCCGTGGCAGGGCCTGCCCCTGGAATACCCGGGAGCACCAGAACAGCCGGGAGCCTCTGCCTGCAGCCCGGGGCTCGTCCTGCCCCAGCAGAGGTAACGGGAGCTCCCCAGCGGGATCTATTTCCCGCACAAAGCTCATTCCATGCGTGCGCCCTCCACAGGAGGACGGGCAGCAGGAGCTGCCTGCCTGCGGGCTGCACCCCAGGACGCTGGAGCAGCTGAGGCAGTGTCCCACGCTGGGGAAATCCTCCCTCCGCCTGCTGGAGATGAAGAATTACAGCTACACCTGGAAGGCCTAGGAATGCTGCTGGTGTCCGGAGCAGGACATTCCCTCCCAGAGCTGCAGGTGCTGAGCTTGGGGCACGGTGGGAGGGATGCCCCACACAAGTGCTGCACAGGAACACCTCCAAGGGCTTTGGAGGAAGGATGGGAAAGGCCTTGGACATCTCCTTTTCTACTGTACAAAGTGTTTTTAAAATAAAATGTGGTTTTATTGGTCTGGTTTGCCCCTGGCAGGTCAGTGCTCTCCATGCACACACAGCTTCTGTTCCAAGCATGGAATTTCTGCTCCTGCTCAGGGCAGGAACTCATAACCAGCTCAGAACTAGAACCCCCCAGGGCAGGGGATAGGAACCAGATGAGCTTTAAGGTCCCTTCCAGCCTAAACCTTCTGGGATCCCATGGATGGGTGGAATGCTTGGCAAAACCCCTTCCCAGACTGTTCACAGCCCCCTGCCCCCCTCAGCAGCTGCACCTTGGGTGTGTGGCACCCCTTGGCTTGGGGTGATCTTCAAACTCCACAGGGAGGAATGGAGGTCAGAGCTCCCACACTCACCCCAGGCCTACAAACCACAGCCTGGGCAGGGGAACAAGGGGAGGAATCAAATGCCTGCAGCACCTGGGCACAAGGGAAGGGTGCTCAGGCCTTGGCACCTCCAGGGAGCTTGGCAGTGCCCAGCCCTGCAGGTGTCCCCTGCAGGTGGCACTGAGTGCTCTGGGCTGGGGACAAGGTGCCCATGGGGCACAGCTGGCACTGCATGGGCTGGCAGGGCTGGGCCAGCCCCGGGGATTCCATGGATCACAGAGACTGAGGAAGAGGAGCAGGGTCTGCCCAGGCTCTGAGTGTTTCCCTGCAGGTGGAGGCTCCCAGGCCTTTTGGGGAGGGGTGTCACTTTTCCATAGCTCTTGGCTGAGCATATTTCTGCAGCAGGGAATGCTACAGCTGAGTGGGAACTAACTCGTGTTTGTGCTCTCCAGGTGTATTTCCATAACCTGGTGTTTGTTACTGAAGTGAAGCTGTGGGCAGCAAAGCTCAGCTTTCCCTGCTGCTGCCCCTGGGCTCTAGGATCACCCAGCAAAGCCCCACAGACCCAACACAGGCACGGAGCAGCCCCTGAGCCTGGGCCAGCCAAAGCTTCCTCTGCCTCCAGAGCCTTTCTGTCTGCCCCAGGCCCCAGCAGGGATGCAGCTCTGCTGGAACTCTGGGTGATCCAGCATGGCTTTACAGAGCTGCTGAGAGCTGGCAGCCCCAGGAGCAAAGCCCAGCTGCTGCCAGGATGCAGGGCTGCTCCTGAAGGATATGGGGCTCCAGGGAACACACAGAACCCCAGCTTTAAGCCATGACATGCAGACCTTTCTGAGTAGTTATTTTTCAAATGGAGCCTTCAGTGGGACTGGATTCTCTGCTGCTGGGAGAGAACTCAGGTCTTTACCTTATGCCTGGGAAACAGGGATAGAGATAAAGGAAGCAAACAAGTACAGGGGGCTCTACATTCCCAAATTTGATGGTGTCCAGCTGAGGAGTCTGAGCTGCCATGGGGAGAATCCTCAGCAGCAGCAGGGTCTGAGCTCTGCCAGGCCACTGAGTGTGGAGGGAGCAGCTCCAGCCCTGGGATGGAGCCAGACACCCCCAGGGTGCCTCCTCCCATCTTTGCTGGGATTTCACACCTCCCAAACACTTGCAGGACAAGCTCCACACGTTTAGTCAGAGACCGAAGGCGAGATGCCAAAGGGAAAAAAGTTTAATTCAAGACAACAACGTCCATGAAATGAAGATCAACTGAAGCATTTTCGGAGCGCTTGGACAGACTCTCAGGGGCTTTTCTGTCTCCAAACCAACCCCAACTCCCTGCTGCCCAGGAAACACCACCCCTTGTCCCTGCAGAGCAAGGAGACTCCACGTTCTGTGACACTGACGGGACCCACACGGCTCCAGGCACCAGGAATTCCTCAGCTCCATGGACCCCCACGGCCAAAGGGTCCCTCCCGTGAGGCCTGAGCAGCCTGGCTGGGTTTGTTCTGTCCCCAAACCCAGCTCAGGTTCACCCCTCACAAACACTTGTCCTGGGACAAGCACCTGAAGGACCCCAGTGCAGGAATCCTGGCAGCCTGCTCCTACCTCAGATCCCTCAGGGAGGGTGCACTGCCCCTCCCAGTCCCACGTGCACACAGATCAAAGATTAATGCTTCTTAAATAAAAAATAAAAAGTAGGAAAAGCTTTCTACATCCTCTCTGCTGTCCAACTGCCCAAACTCTGGGTCACGCTCCTTGAGGGCAGAGGATGCTTATCCTTAACATTGCATCCCAAGGAGTTATTTTGTAAAAGTTCAAAACAAACAAAAAACCACCAGACCTGCTCCTGCCATCCCAGTGGCTGTTGGGAATCCTCACAAAGCCACTTCTGTATCGTGTGTGTGTTCCTTGCAGAAGGCATTTTGGTGTGTTTAAATTCCTGTTTCCTGGCTTGGCAGCCCTTGCAATTACCGTTTACTGACCAGGGGTGAAGATTATGAACTTGTGCTGCTTTATTGACCAAGTTGGGTACAACAATTGAAGCATCATTCTACCCCCTCCCTCCCCCCAAATCCAGTTGTAGATTTGTTAAAGAGTTTAAAATTCACATGAACCACAAATCCGTACAATCAGCATCAGGCAGTGGATTCCCTGGTTGGGAAGAGCAGCCCCGCTGCGAGGCCGGGCCGTGCCCGAGCCCCCGCGTGCCCCCGGCCGCCCTGGGGTGGCACCGAGGGGCAGCGCCCGGGCACGGCCCCAGGGTGTCCCCAGCACCTCCCCGAGCCCAGGGAACCCTGCAGCCACTACAAAACTGTATCAAAGAAAGGGTCAACGCTCTGACAGGAGAGGAACTGCAGGAGCTTCAGCCAAGGGTCTGGATTTCTGATGCCTCCAGAGTCTGTCGTCTGATTTAGTCGTTTAAGAAATAATTACATCACTAATGTAAACAATATAAACATACCAAAAACTAAGTATGATTTAAATACATTTGGATGGTACAAAAGAAAAACCTGCGGGTGTCTGTACAGTTTTTACAAGGTGGGAATCGCCGATGTATTTACAACATGAGAGGGGCAAATACCATTTCTTGTGCAGAGTAAAATGCTCAGAACCAGTGTCCCAGTAAAGCCAAGCTTAGCGGTGTGAGGCACTCCTGAACATGGTGGTATTGACCATGCTTTCCTTTGGTACGAGTCCCATGGCCTGCAGCGCCGCCGTGGCCGCCGTGGCTTTCGCGTGCTTCTTGTTAAGGCTGGCAAAGGTGGGCCTGTACTCGTTGCCATTGACTCTCACCTGGCACGGGGGAACCAGGGGTTAGCGAGGGGGCCGTGCCTGCCCCAGGCACACTCTGGGCAGCTCCTTTTTAGGGACACAGATCCCACGGCTGCCTGTCAGCAAGGACATTGCAGGGGATCCCACCGTGCTCGGGGCTGGGAGGGACCTCACGGGCCAGCCAGTGCCACCCCTGCCGTGGCAGGGACACCTTCCACTGTGCAGGGCTGCTCCAAGCCCCAGGGGCCTTGGGCCCTGCCAGGGACCCAGGGGCAGCAACAGCTGCCCTGGGCTCCCTGTGCCAGGGCCTGCCCACCCTGCCAGGGAATTCCTAATTCCCAAGATCCCATCCAGCCCTGCCCTCTGGCAGAGGGAAGCCATTCCCTGCGTCCTGCCCCTCCAGCCCTTGTCCCCAGTCCCTCTCCAGCTCTGCTGGAGCCCCTTTAGGGCCGGCAAGGAGCTCTGAGGTCTCACTGGAGCCTTCCCTCCTCCAGGTGAGCACCCCCAGCTCTCCAAGCCTGGCCTCAGAGGGGCTCCAGCCCTGGGATCCCAGAATAAAGTGCTCCAGGGACTCGGTTTGGCCTTTCCAGGAACAGGACTTGAACGTTCCAGCACCGAGACGGCTCCACCATCCTCAGCCAGCCCCGTGAGGTGTTTCTATCAAACAGAAACATGGATTTCACCCCTGGCACAGAGAAAGCAGCACAGGGGCAGGCAGCCCAGACCCACCTTGAAGATGAAATGCTTGCGGTGATCAGGCCCACTGTCGTCCACCAGCACGAACTCGGGGGGCGTCCACCTCCTCTTGTTGCAGATCTCCATCAGCGCAGACACCGGGTGCTTCCCTGGCACACACACACGGCAGGGTCAGTGCCCAGCCAGCCCCTGGCAACGGCGCCATTCCCGACAAGGAACTCACCTGAAAGATCCTTCATCACCACGTAATGGCCAGACCTCTTCTGGGCCTTCTCTCCCACAGCAACCAGCCCTGCAAACAACACAGGCACGATGACATCCCCTGGTTCCACTGATTCCCTGTGCCCACTGACATCCCCTGGTTCCACTGATTCCCCATTCCCACTGACATCCCCTGGTTCCACTGATCCCCTGTGCCCACTGACATTCCCTGGTTCCACTGACATCCCCTGGTTCCACTGATTCCCCATTCCCACTGACATCCCCTGGTTCCACTGACATCCCCTGGTTCCACTGATTCCCTGTGCCCACTGACATTCCTTGCTCCCACTGACATTCCCTGGTTCCACTGATTCCCTGTGCCCACTGACATTCCCTGTGCCCACTGACATTCCCTGGTTCCACTGATTCCCTGTGCCCACTGACATTCCCCATTTGCCACTGACATTCCCTGTGCCCACTGACATTCCCCGTTCCCACTGACATCCCCTGTTCCCACTGACATTCCCCGTTCCCATTGACATTCCCCGTTCCCACTGACATTCCCTGCTCCCACTGACATTCCCTGATCCCAATGACATTCCCTGGTCCCATTGACATTCCCCGTTCCCACTGACATTCCCTGCTCCCACTGACATTCCCTGTTCCCACTGACATTCCCCGTTCCCACTGACATTCCCTATTCCCATTGACATTCCCTGGTCCCACTGACATTCCCTGCTCCCACTGACATCCCCTGCTCCCACTGACATTCCCTGTTCCCACTGACATTCCCTGTTCCTATTGACATTCCCTGTTCCCACTGACATTCCCTGTTCCTATTGACATTCCCCGTTCCCACTGACATTCCCCGTTCCTATTGACATTCCCCGTTCCCACTGACATTCCCCGTTCCCACTGACATTCCCCGTTCCTATTGACATTCCCCGTTCCCACTGACATTCCCCGTTCCCACTGACATTCCCTGCTCCCACTGACATTCCCTGCTCCCACTGACATTCCCTGTTCCCACTGACATTCCCCGTTCCCACTGACATTCCCTGTTCCCACTGACATTCCCTGTTCCCACTGACATTCCCCATTGTCACTGACATTCCCCATTGTCACTGACATTCCCCGTTCCCACTGACATTCCCTGGTCCCACTGACATTCCCTGGTCCCACTGACATTCCCTGCTCCCACTGACATTCCCTGTTCCCACTGACATTCCCCATTTGCCCCTGGCCCCTGAGGCAGCAGCAGAGCACAACCAGGATCACAGGGATCACACCTGGAGGATCACAGGGATCACACCTGGAGGATCACAGGGCACCCCTGCAGACCCCACCCAGCTCTCAACCCTCCACCTTGTTCCATCCTTTTCACTCAGCCCATTCTCCCCAAGGAAGACTCTGAAGCAGCCAGGAGGAGAAACCTCTGAGCAGTCTCACACAAGGCAGAGAACACCTGGTTTTCCAAGGAAACCTGGTTTCCCATGCCCTCTTTGGAGAAACAATCCACAAGGGAGACACTGAAGAACATTCTCTGACTGTTTTGTGCAGCCCTGAGTCACCCCCTGCCTTCAGCTTGCCTCAGACACAGGAGCACAGGGACCATTCCCATTATCCAGAGATGTCCCTGTGTCCCCTCCTGCCAGGAGTGACCCACAGACCTGGATTCCTTGTGCTCTCTGAATTTACAGGGTTCCAGCCCCTGGGAGCCAAGCAGCAGAGAGTGGAACAGCCCCAAAGGGCTGCAGGGAGCCCAGGCTCTCCTGGAGTCACTGCAATCACCAAAGCTCAGCCCTGCTCTTCTGAAAACCTTACAGGATCGAGGAAAGAACTGAAGAATTACCACAAGTGTCTGAAATTCCAGTGACAATCCACCAGAGAAACTCAAGTTTCTCCCCATGGATTTTGCCACTCTCACCCTTTCAATATTCCTTTGTTTCTTACCTCCAGTTTTCCTGCTGTGGCTCTGGTGAATAAAGACAGGGAGATACTGCAATTGCTCCCAGTGTCTTCCTGCTCCTTCAGCTTTTGTGGGTGGCATTTGGGTTTCTCTTGCTTTCCAGGAAAATCCTTCCCTCCTTACCAGATAATCACCCCAATATTCCTGCAATCCCTAAGCAGGGCCTTCCCAAGGGGCATGAAGCCATCAGAGACAGTCACTGAAGGAATTTTACACCCAAACCAAGCAGGGATGCTCATCCTCCTCAATCAACTCTCTCCCTGCTGTTGAGCCCCTGACACTCCACTCCACCTCCTGTCTCTGGGACCTCAACTGGGAATTTCAAACAAGCTGCAGCCTCCTGAGTCACTTCCTGGGACCAGGAATTGTATTTTATTTGGGCTGGTTTATATCAATAAATATATATTTATTTAAAAAGATCTTTTAATAATTATTAAAATACAAGCTCTAATATTTATAAAATAAAATACTGTTTTCTACGTTGAAAAATGTCTATAATCAATTCCTTACAAAACAAACCTGGGTGGTGGGTGAATAACAGCCTTCCTGTCAAACACTGTGGACTTTAAAACTCCACACAGAAGTTTAAAACAAAAAAAAGAGTAGGTTTTACCCATTTAATCACCCAAGAACATAGATGTCTGAAAAACTACTTGTCCTCAAAATATAATCCCTAAATATATAATATAATACATAATAACATATATAATCCCTTGTCCTAAATATATATTATATATAAAATAAATAATATATATTATGGTATATGATATATACTATATATATACACTATATAATGTGTAATATGCAATATATGTAATGTAATATAGTATATAATATATAATAAATAATATACAATATTATATATTATAAATAATATAAAATATATAATATATAGTATATATTATATTATATGTACTATAATAAATAATAAAGATATAGTATATGATATATACTATATATACATTATATAATAAATAATATACAATATATATATCATATATAATCATGTTTCCTGCTTGTCTGTGAGCAGGACACCTCCTGCCCCTCATCTCCCTGTGCCACAGACCTGGGTGGCCCAAGAGCAGAGGGAATTGTGCATCCAGGCACAACTTTGGTGGGAATGATCAGGTGAGGCCGCACATGAGCAGAAGTGTTTCACCAGCAGGAAATGCAAAGCCCAGCTGGGCTGTCTGGAGGGTGGCCCTGGTCTCAGATGACTCTCACAGGCCAGCAGGAGCCCTTGGCAGTCACTGCCTCCAGGCACCTTTGGGGTTTCATTTCTTTCTTTACACAGAAAGGTTGTAAAGAAGAACACGTGAGGGGTTTGGCCATTCAAGCTCAGTTCTGAGCAGTGACAAAAGCCAACACAGGCCCTGAAATCCCAGAATGGTTTGGGTGGGAAGGGACCTTGAGGCCCATCCAGTGCCATGGGCAGGGACACCTTCCACTGTGCCAGGCTGCTCCAAGCCCCATCCAATGGCCCTGAAATGAAAATTCTGAGTATTTCCACCCCTTGCTTTGAGATGGGTTGAAGGTTCTTTAGAACAATCTTTAGAACAGCAGGAATCTGACCCACAGTCAGTGTGGAGTTGCTGTTTTGTTCCATGCAGAGCAGAACAATTACATTAGAAATCCTGACTGCTGCATTTTGGATTTAAAGCAAAAGGTGTTTCAGATGGAGAATCTCCAGCAGCACCCAGCACACAAACCTCAGTGGCCAGGCTGAAGGAGCAGCAGCACTGGATGGCTCTGCTGCACCAGGAGAGTTCTCCCCTGTGGCCATGGACAGGAAACCATGGGAAACAGGGGAGGTTTCCAGGGAAAGTGGAGGCTAAAGCTGCTCTGGAAGCAGCCCTGAGGATGAGCAGAGCTGCCCTCAGCAGGTTCAGGCTGGAGATGAAGAGCAGGGAAAGGACCAGGATCGCCAGGGAAGCCCCAAAGCCCTGAGTGTGAGTCACTGGCACAGCTCAGCTTTGGGGCTCTCAGCTCTGTCCCCACTGACCCCTCTGGAACTCTGACCCCTCTATTCCACCTTCTACCCCACTCCTGCTCCAGCCACTTGCTCCAGAGCCACCACTGCAGCTTTTCCACGAGGACAAAGCTCTGGGCTGACTCCAGGCCTTGGCAAACCCGAGGTAAAATCCCAGAACCTGTTCCATGTGCCAGTGAAGCCCCCCAGACAACACCTCCTGCTCCCAGGGGCCTCTGCAGGCAGCTGAGCAGCCACAAACATCCCTGAGGCAGGACTCCAGGACTCACCTTTTCTATCCGTCTTAAAGTCCACCATGATGGGCTCAACGCTGCCTTCCTTGTTCTTCCCAAGGCCTTCTCCTTCTCTCCAGCCCATCTTCCTCATCAGCTGAGCTCCCATTCCTCCAGTTACAGGGGCTGCTCTTAAGAACTGATCCTATCCAGAAAAAGAGAAGTAAAACAAGGCCTAAAGTTAGCGCTGGGATTTTAATTAAGAAGTGGGAACTTCCAAAAAAAAATGTTTCTAATAATTTTTCACAGACTCAATTAAAAAATCAAAATAAAAAAAAAAAAAATCCACCTGAGCTCTGTGGATTTTTAGCCCAAACCAGTGCGTGGAACCCGGAACTCACGCGGACACACGAGACACAAATCAATGTTTGGCAAAAAAGAACAACTTAGGAAAAGTCTAAGGTGATCCCAAAGTGGCAGTGACCCTTGGCAGACAGATGTGTTTAACCAAGCAACAACCTAAAGACTCTAAAGGCTCTAAAGACTCTGCTCTGATCCCAGAGATGTCCTCAGCTCGGGAAGTGGGAACTGATCCCGGCACAGCTGTGCCAGGGCACCTCCTCGTCCAACAGAACACAAGCACATTTAGTCATGACATTCACAGGCTGTTTAGGCGGATTTAAATCTAAAAAAAAAAACCTCTCCCCACCTGATTCATTACACAGCAGTTGCACATTCAAGTTCTACTCTGAAATTCCACATGGAACAAACAGCTTTTGCTTTCCCCTCTCTTGATTTTAACGGAAAAAGGCGCTTGGCCCCCCAGTTTAGCAGCAGCAGTCGTCACATTCTTTCAAATGAGCATTAACAAAAGTTGTTAAACGGTGAAAGCTTATCAACAGAAAGTTTAAACATCTGCTTTGATGTAAAGAACTGTAAAAACTCCTTAAATGTTACGTACCTAGGCCTCGCTGGCCGCAGTGTTGTGAATAGTAGGGCTGGCACTGACCGTGGCAAGAAGGCGGCTACAAGGATTTGACCCTGAAACAAGTTTCCATATAGAGGGGTGAAAGTTCACAGGTTATTCTGTGAACTATCATCTCTCGTGCCCCCCCGCTGACCCCAAAGCAAGTCAAGCATTTCCATCACAGCAGAGCCTGGCTTTGCCTGCCCCACGCAGCCGGGCAGGGCTGGCTCCTGGCTCGCTGCCCGGGCACAGCCACGCAGCCTCGGGGCTCTGCCGCCCGTGGAGCTGTGCCTGCCAGGGCAGGAGCTCCCCAGAGGTCACAGAGTCACACGTGGCCTGAGCTGGAAGGGATCCATCAGCACCACGGGCTCCGAGCGCTGGCCCTGCACAGACAGCCCAGCAACCCCAGCCTGGGCATCCTGGGAGCTCCTGGAGCTCAGCACGGGCCTGGGGCTGTCACCAGGGCAGGACTGAGGGGTCCCTGCATTCCCAGGGCTCCCAGGGCCCGCTCTCCTCCTGCAGGGAACAAGGCCACAGGGCTCCCTTTGGCAGAGCGTGTGTTCCTCAGGGATTCCCTGCACACGCCTGTGCCTGGCCCCTCGCTGCAGGCTGGCACCAGTGTGGCAGGAAAGCCCTGCTGGAGGCTGTGCCAGGAGTGCTCCCAGCCTCTGCCCGGGCCAGGAAATCCCTGTGTGGATCCCCACGGATCCACGAGGCTGGAGGAGCAGAGCTGGGGCTGGTGCCGAGCCAGCCCCTCAGACACAGCATCCACAGCCCTTCCCTCAGCTCCCACTCCCTCCTCCCCTCCTCTCCAGGAACACCCTGCAAGAGCAGCTCCCTGCAGGCTCTGGAGCTGGGCTGGCTCCTGCTGGCTGCAGGTTTGGCTCCCTGGCTGCTGCAGCACCACGGGGTGTGTTCAGTTCACAAAGGACACAGCGCAAGCTCCTGCTGAGGTCACTGCGGCTCCCTCGGCTTTCCCAAACACCCGGACACCTGAGCCTGGCTCAGGAGCAAGGACAGAGCAGAACCAAAATGTCCTGGTCCTGCTCAGAGCCCTGAGCTCCTGCAGAGGAATTAGCAGAGCCTGAACAAACTCCAGAAACTGGAACTGGGAAGTTCTAGGTTCCCAAGGGCTGTTTGTTAAAGCATCCCTTCCGTGGTGAATTCAGGATCCTGGAGGGGAACTGCAGCAGGAACTTTGTGCTGACTCTTCAATGTGGCCAACAGAACCATGACTAACACATTTATTATTATTAGTAACAATTATTATTAATAATAATTTGATTCTAGAACACACAAATATTTGTGCATCCCACCAAAAGGCATGGGGAAGGTACCAGTGGGAAAGGAGCCAGGAGAAGCCCCCTTGGACTCAGGTCACTGAGGAAGCAAATGTCTGCAGCAAGGAAAAAGTTCCTGCATTTTGATTCTGGTTTTTTTTTTTTTTTTTTCTTTTTAATAATAAAGTGAATGTAAACCTCTAATGCCACCTGCACATTGTATTTTTTTTTGTAGTTTAGTAACAGACAACTTCCCTCAGCCCATGATTTAATGAGTGGGGGTAAAACTGGTGCTGGGAATTCATTGAAAACCACAGAAGCAACGGAAATGTTCACAAAAGCAGGGAAGCAAGAGGCACAATTCTTCTCATTTTAAAAATCATCCAAGGGTGAGTCTCCCAAAAACTCCTGAGCAGCTCTGGACCTTTGCAGATCCAAATTAAAGGGGATGGAATACAAGAATCCCCAGGTTTCTGAGCATTTGGTTACTGCTGTCAGAACTACCTCATTACTTACAAAAGCATTTCTCTTTCATTCATTGATCTTAATTTGAGGGAGCCTGCAGGACAATTTGATACTTTTTCCCTTATATTTTGAGCTCTAAATTCCATGGAATCCCACTTCCATTCTGCCAACACATGGAGACACTCAAGAGCCACATTCTTGTGTCAGCACTTACTTTAAAGAGAAGGTAAAACCTAATTTCTTCAGAGGCTTTAGAGCAGTTTTAATTAACTTTCTTGCTGATTCTTCAGGCTGACTCTTTGGAGCAACAATTTAGGAAGCAAAGACAACAAAGCCTTGAAGGCAGGGGTGGCAGCTCAGGGCAGGACTAAAGGCTGAACTCCAAGGAAGTTCAAGTTCCAGGAACAAGCATCACTTTGGAAAAACTGTGCCAGGCAGAATTTCCCATTGAATCCCAGCATCTCCTGAGTGGGAAGGGACTCACAAGGACCATCCAAGTCCAGCTCCTGGCCCTGCACAGCCCAACAATCCCAGCCTGGCATCCCTGGGAGCTCCAAGCGCTCCTGGAGCGAGCTCTGGTCAGGATCTGGTCCCTGTGGCTCCTTGCAGGGACCCTGAGCAAGGGAATTTGGGCTGGGTGCTGAACTGGAAGAGGCTCTGGCCCTTTCAGCAGCACTCCCAGTCCTCCCACAGGCAGCAGCAGGAATGCCTTGCTGAAGCAGCCCAGGAGATGCCCCACAAGCCCTGTGCTCCCAAGCACCTGCAGGTGCTGCTCAGAGCTCCTGACAACAGCAGGGACAAGGGGATGGCTGGGAAAGAGAGCAGCCAGCCCAACAAACTCACCAGCTGTGGAATCATGGAATTCCAGACTGGGCTGGGTCAGGAGGGACCTCAGAGCCCACCCAGAGCCACCCCTGCCATGGCAGGGACACCTCCCACTGTCCCCAGTGCCCAGCCTGGCCTTGGGCACTGCCAGGGATGCAGGGGCAGCCCCAGCTGCTCTGGGCACCCTGTGCCAGGGCCTGCCCACCCTGCCAGGGAACAATTCCTCATTCCAAGATCCAGTCCCTGGTGAGCACAGAGCTGCTCTGCCCTGCCAGCTGAGCCTGGCTCCCCAGGAAAGCTCCTTGTGCCTGCAAGAATGGAAGGGAGGTTTGCACTTTCCAGAACTTTCTGCACAAGTGAGTGACCCAGCAGCTCCCCAGGGCCACCCCTGAGCACAACCCTGGGTTTGGGGAGCAAGTTCAGGCTCCAGAATTGAGCTGATAAATCCAGAACCAAGGGGTGAGTCTGGGAAAGGGGGAGTAAATAGACCTCAACAGAATTTGCTTGGAGAAACAAAAAATATTTGACCACATGCTCTGCCATTTCTTCAGCAGCACAGTGTGTTTGGAAGGAAAAAGGGAATAAAAATAGAAGCAGCCTTCAGAAAAGATGAGTCACATTTGTGAACTGATTACACTGATGGTGACAAACTGAAACAGAAGCCACTTTTTCAAAGAGAAAGGTGAGATTGTTCATAAATTTCTTATACCCAACACACATCACTCTTTTATGGACCCTGCTCAGGCCCCTGCACATAAACACCAAGAATTAATTAGTCCAGGAATGAAAACCATAAACCTTACTGCTACTTAGTGTCCCCACCCCAGTGCTCCACATGAAACCCTGCAGTTCCTAATTCCCAAACTGAGATTCTGAGTCTGCTTTGAGTGCACATTTCCTCTCCAGAGTCATTGGGAAAGGACAAGGAAAGGTGAAACCCACAAAATGCAAAGTGAAGACAGAGCTCAGCAAACAAGTTCCCCAAGTGCCCTGCTGCCCTCCTGAGTCACTCTCCTGGTGTTGTGGTGACCTCTGTCACACCCAGTGCCTGTGCCTGCTCCAATTCCTTCTTTCCTCAGACCCAGATGGAGTGGCTGCCACAGGCTCAGTCTGTGCTGGATGGCCCCAGCTCCTCCCATGGCAAAGTCCCAAGGGAAATGCCTTCAGCAAACAGCCAGAAATGTGCACTCACTCAGACACAGCATCCCCCAGGAAGCTGCACAGCCCTGCTGGCAGATAAACCCACAGAAACACACAACACCCCCTAGTTGGAAGTGACCCATGAGGATCAGAGTCCAACTCCTGGCCTGAGGGAAAAATACCAGGTTTTTTATGTTAAGACACAGTTTTTATGCCAAAAAGGGAGCACAAGCCTGACTTAGTAACTGCTCATTGTCACAGGATTTCAGGTGTCCAAGTAACACACAACCAGTACTTTGCACTTCATGGCTGGTTTGTGTTCCTGGCCCTGAGAAACAGAACATGGACTCAGAGCCACGAGCCTGCTTCTTCCTGTGAAACCCTCCTGCAGCCACAGCAGGACTCCTCATGGAGCTGTGTGAGGATTCCCACCATTCCTGGAGCCCAGGGCACTTCTGAGCAGCTCTGGGCCCTCCTGGCAGAGCAGGAGAGCAGCTGAGGAGTGCCAGGGCAGGGAGAGGACTTTGTCCTGGCCTCCCTCCCCTCCAACTCCTCCTGCTGCCAGCAGGAGCCTCCTGTGTGCCCAGCCCCAGAGCCTGCACTGTGAGCACAGCACATTCCCAGCTCTGGGCAGGGCATGAGAGCTGCTGCTGCTGCCTCACTGAGCCCAGAGCCAACAAAATGTTCCAACATTCCTCTGCTCCTTGCAGCAGCTGTGTCAAGCACAGACCACACTCTTCTCCCATTCTCTTCCCTTGAAGCATTTTGTTTGGCTTGTATCTGGTTTTTTTTTGGCTGTAATTTTGGTTTGTTCAGTTGGGCTGCTTTAAAGCAGATCCCAGAGTGAAGCTGGAGGACAGGTAAATCTCACCAGGCCCTTTCCACTTCACCCTTGTGAGCAGCCCCTCCTGCCACTGCCATCACAGGAGACCCCAGGGAGGAGGTTTGGGAAAGAGCTGCTCAGAGCTGCTCCCTTTCCAGGGCCTTGGGAACCCATCCCAGGTGCTGCAGACAGGGAGAACCCTCCCCTCACAGCCCTGCTGATCTCCTTCCCAAGCCCCTCGGTGGGAAAGCTCCTTCCTCACCAACACATCCCTGGGCTTCACAGTTCCCTCTGCCAGGAACAAGGATTGTCTTCAGCAAAGGCAACATTTTGCTACAATCTCAGCTGTTCATAGCTGTTAAAATCAGACTTTATCATGCACATTCTGCATTAACACTGGCAAGATCCCAGAAGATTCCCATCTGGCCAGTGACTCAAATCTGTGTTCCCTGGCTCTCTGCACTGCTTGGCTATATGAAGTGGAAAACCAAGTTAGTGAATCCTGGCAAAAAATGTTTCTATTTTCAGGACATTGTGATTCCAGACTTTTGTGTTCAGCTGACACCAACTTTTATGGAAAATTCCACCTAAGCCTCAAATCTGACCTCCCAGCTTGGAGGGTGTCCCAACCCAAGCTGACACAGACTCAGCTGCAGCACCTGCCACACTGACCAGCTTAACTCCTTACTCCTTGTGCCTGGAAGTGGATGCTGCTTGAACTCCTCAGATCTCCCTCCTGACAGAGCACCAGATCAGTGCTCACAGGCAAAGGTGCAGCTTGAGTAACTGAATGTACAAAACACACGGATGGAGGACGCAGCACACCCCAGAATCAGCCAGTGATAACCCACAGCAACAGGGAACTACTGCACTGTATCTCAGCAATATCAGAGTGAGAGGAACTTATCAACTGCAACTCCTGCTCCCAGAAAACCCTGGTGATGCAGAGAGAGGCAAAGGAGCAACCAGAGAGAACCAAGGCAAACCCAAGGGCAGTTTTTGGGCCTTGGTTCGCTGAAGCCGATAACAAAAACCTGATTTCAGCAGCAGCAGGATCAACCCTGCCTGGCATGTGCCAGTGCCAGGGAGGCAGGGAGGGATGTGCCAGTGCCAGCACAGCAGCACAGCAGTGTCCTGGCAGTGGCAGGCCGTGTCTGGCCGGTCACACCTCGCCGGGGACACTGAGGCACAGGGACTGAGCCCGGCCTGCTGCACTGGGCACATGCTCTGCCACAGGGAGAGGCACTCGTGGTGCACTGGGCAATCCTTGGCTGCTGTCAGAGTGGTCACTGCTGGGACAGCAGTGGCTGTGTCACTTCTACCTTTCGGATCCACGCCTGGGGCCCGCTGTTGGTGAGCTCGTCCGAGGACAGGATCTGCGCGCCGGTGCTGCCCGTGAACTGCCCGGGGATGGAGTTGGACTGAGCCCAGGCATCGATCTGCAACAGGAAAACACACACTGAGACCAGCACTGACAGCCCCACATCCCCTCTGCACCCCTCAGGAATTTTCACAGCATGTTGTTGGGATTTGGTGTGTTCACTGATGCTCAGGTGAAAGCAGGTGCTACCAAAATCTGAGCATCTGAATGGTCACCCTGAAACCTGAGCTCCAACTCCAGCCAGTTCAGGGTCTCCTCATCCCCAGAACTGCTGAATCCACTGTTTTGGAAAGAATCACCTACATCTGTGCTGCTAAACTACAATAAAATTTAAAGAAAATTAAATTTTAAACTATGTTTCAGAGTGACTTGGGTGCGAACATGGAATACACAAAGGAGCTCATCAAAACTCAGTGTCAGAAGCGCAGAACTTTGAAACACTGGCCCACAGCTGGGTTTCCAAACAGAAACAGGAGAGGAGAACCAGCTGCCATGAAAGGAAAGCCCTGATTTCCCTCCAGCTCCCCCAGATGCTGCTGAAGGCCCCAGCTCACCTGCTCCTGTGCCCGGTTCAGCATGCACATGGCCTCCAGGTCAAAGGAGTTCTCATTGAGCCTCTTCTGGGCCACTGCTCTGTCGTTCATGGCTGTGGTTATGTCCACACACTAGGAGGAAAAAGAGCATTTGTAAAAACACAGCAGAGACAAACAGTGTCCACTTGAGCTGGAAAAACCTACTGGAGAATCAATATCACCAAGTGGGGTTACAGAGTGAATTGTTGCTTTGACAAAGAAAAAGGCAACGTGACGGAAATCCTGGGACCACTTAAATCCACACAAGATGGGCTTTCCTGGACAAAGACAAATCTGAATTTAAACTGTCACACCCTGGTAATTTAAAATCACCTGCACACACAAAATATCCAATGACTTATTTTCTAAGAAATAGAAAATAAGTCACAAAAAATTCTGGTGTGTAATAAACACAGGAGCATTTTACTGTGCAATGAGATCTTCTTAACCAACAGAATTAAATGCAATTTAACTAAAAATTCATGCAGAGCTGTTCACATGAACACTCTGCTATTAAGTACGACTACAGCTTGTCTGTAAAAAGTAATTCCAGCATGAATCAGATGCACTCCACAATCTTGACTTTAGTGTTTCAAATGTTCATCTCCAGCCTAAACCAGAAGGGAATGAAGATGGAGAAGGGGCTGGAGCCCCAGGAGGGGCTGAGGGAGCTGGGCAGGGGCTGGGGCTGGAGCAAAGGAGGCTCAGGGGCCCTTGTGGCTCTGCACAAGTCCCTGCCAGGAGGGCACAGCCGGGGGGGTCGGGCTCTGCTCCCAGGGCACAGGGACAGGAGCAGAGGGAACGGCCTCAGGCTGGGCCAGGGCAGGCTCAGCTTGGACAGCAGCAGCAATTTGCCCATGGCAAGGGAGCTCAGGCCTTGGCAGGGGCTGCCCAGGGAGCTTTGCAGTGCCCAGCCCTGCAGGTGTCCCCTGCAGGTGGCACTGAGTGCTCTGGGCTGGGGACAAGGTGCCCATGGGGCTTTTCCAGCCTCAGGGATCGTGTAAAACCAGGCTGTGAGCTCACAGAATTCACTGCTTTGGGAAAAAATATCTAAATCTGTGCTGCTGAGCTGCATAAAATATAAAGAAAAATAAATTTGAAATGACACTGCAGAGTGACTTGGTGAAAATATGAAATACACAAAGGAGCTCTCTGCAAACCTTCACTCTGGGCAAAGCCATGGAAGAGAAATCCACAACATTTGGGGCTGTAATGAATTCTGGCTGCTTTGCAGCTGTTTTATAAAATCCCTGGGCCCTGCTCCCCAAGGATGTGCATTATGGATCATTCTGTTTGGAAAGCAGGAAGGGAAGAGGGTGCAAAGACAAATGGAATTCCTTGAGATGTGACAGAAGCTGGAAGGGCCGGGACAGTTTGAGGCACAGAAAAACCCAATAATCAGAAATGCAGCTGGCACACACACATCAAGGTGCTGGGTTACCCTAAAGTTCATTTCAATCTGCTTTGTAAAAGCCTCGCCTCTTTTGCTGCCACAACCTCGACCTCTAACACATTTTGTACTAAAGGGCCAGGAAGAGAAACTGAAGCTCCTTCAAAATTGACTCAGCTGAACAAAACAAACACTGTTAAACCACAAACCCTGTCCCAGGAACCTGGTCAAGAATTCAGTAAATACTGAAGAGATAGATATGAACACCTACAATGGCACCAAACACAGGAATTGCTTTTGTGTTCTATTAAATCCGATTTTAAGATGGGGTTTTTTTGCTGGTGTTTAGGACAAAAATGTTTCTATTGGGAAGATCATTGCTGGAATATCTGGCACTGATCAAAACAGAACTAAAATCCCACAAGTCCCAGGTGTCTGTGGACTGAGTTCAGTGCTCATTTCTTGTCACACAGAACATAAAAAAGGCACAAGAAGAATTAAAATGTTATCTAACAACTCCCTCACACAACAGCAAGGATGTAAAAATGCCTGTTTCAAATGCACACTGGCTAAGTTTTCAAGTTTCTCTCACATACTTAAAATAATGATTTAATGTTCTGTTAATGAACCTGGTCTAGGAGATAAATAAAAGTTCTTCTACTCACCAAAAGTTTCAATCCAGCAATACACCAAGGCATGGAAGCAGTCCATGAAAGCACAGGGGACCACTGCCATGCCAAAGAGGTGTGTTAGTGCTTTACTGGGGCCTAGCAGCACTCCCTGCTGGTTCATTCCCAAACACTTCTCCACTCTGGAGACCATCAGGGCTCTGTGCTATGCCAAGACACTTGATGGCAGCTTTGGATCTTGCAAAAAGCCATCTCTGCTCGAGGTATGAGAGGTTGTTGTTATTCACAGGTGGAGGTGAGGTGCTGCTCTCTGCCAGAGCTCTCCTGCCTGATCCCCTTTCTCAGACTTGCCCCCACAAATCACAAATACTGAAGCAAATGAAAAGCAGGTGTTTTACACCCTCTGGAGCTCCAAGAATGCTCTGACTGCATCCTTAGATCCCAGCACTCAGCACAAGTCACCTGGGACTGGCACTCTGCACTTCCAGACACTCCTTCCTCAGAGCTCTCTGCCTGCCACAGACAAGATGAGCCCTCAGATCACTCCAGACCTTCCCTTCCATCTCCTACTGCCCCACACAACTCCTTAAGGCATCATGTTTTATTAAAACAAGGGTACTGTACTGTACTGTACTAGCAGGGTCATTTCAGACCAAGCCCATAGCTAATATGTGAATTAGAACACAGCAACAAAAGCAATTGTGTGGGGTTTCATGCCAGGACTTGCACCAGAACTGTCACAGTATTGCAAAATCAGCAGCAACAGATGGAGGTCAATTCTAGGGGAAAGTTAAGTTCCAAGCACCCCCAGCTCTCTACTCCCCCAGCAAGGGAGCTGATCTGCCTCATGTTGCTCCAAGGGAGCCGTTTCCACCACAGAGTCCTCCTGAGCACGAAAGAATTAAGCAGAGAAGCACTGTGTTACCTGTCAGGCTCCCTGGAGAAACACACAGCAGCTCTGTACCTGCACTCCCCAAAGCCCAGGGGACGGGTGGAACAGCCTGCTGGGAGCTAACACCCCTGAAATCACCCTTAACACAAACCAAGTTAAGGTAAAGGCAAATAAAAGTATTTATTTACAAAATGTAAAATCAGACAACATAGTTACAGGCATTTATAATGGTACACACAACAGAAAGGAAAGGAAGTTATGTTAAATATATTTACTGCAATGAAACTGGGAATGACATTCTGCACAAACATCTCAGGGTTTTACTGGAGCAGGAGAGCCCAAAATGCAGCTCCCACCTGTGCTGAGGAACTGGGTGCCCAACCATCAAATTCTGAGGGATTCCATGAGAATGCTGGCTAAGTTATATCCTCTGTGCTTCTGGTGTTGTAGAAGAGCCAGAAGAAAATTCCCTCCTGTGCCTCAGGGAGTGAACTGAGCAGTATCAGAAAGGTCTTGAGAAACAAAATGCACCAAGTGCTGAGATGGCTTTGTCAGAAATTGATGGGGAGGCTTTGGGGTTTGGCTTTGGAAGGTGTGAGAACAAGGCTGCAGGTGCACCGAGGCAACACACACTTAAAAATACTAACATCTCTCTTAAATAGTTAATTTACTTAATTACAACAGCCCCCAGAAATGTTCTTTAGAAGAAATTTCAAGGGGAAAAACACTTGCTTTGGTGTTTTTAGTTCATTATCCATACAATTAGATTCTCCTTTGGAAGGCCACGTGCAAGACAGCCATTGGAGAAAATATGACTGGAAAGCTAAAAAAATGAATACATCCAGAGGAAGTGACTTTCAATTTTTAATTGATTACATTCCAGTGTGATGTTCTTGCTCTAAGACTGGTGGGACAATTTTAATTAGCACTACATCCATTACTGTGCAAATCTCAAGGTATTATTAATTACCCTCTGCAGGAAACTGAACGGGGAAGTTTTTTCCCCTTCCAGCTACAGTTTAAATCCTGTTGAGACCAAGAAGCCACCAGCTGCCAGAAGCAGGATGGGTGCAGGCTGCTTCACGTGAGCACCCCCGTGTGCAGAGCTCAGCTCCTCAGCTTAGTGCAGTGTTCCCTTTTTAAGTGCCTTTTTTGTTTTCCCAGACTGCAGTTGGGTACCAGACTGCCCAGGTGATGGTTTTGGCTTTCTTACATGATATGCTCTCCTTGCCTTCCTTACCTCAATGGCTGGCTTGGGGAAAACGTCGTCCTTGCCGTCGTCTTTGCCGTTCTTGTCCACGGGAACCCACTCTCCATACACACTGTCTGCCTCCTTCTTCCTATGCTGAGACCCAGAGGACACGGGGAATTCCTTGGACAGGCTGACCTGGTTTTTTGGTTGGGGTGGTGGTGCTGGTTTTATGCTGGGAGTCTGAAAGAAATAAAATGAGAAGAAGTTCAGGCTTGGAAACACCCACGAGTCGTGAGGTGGTTTTGTTGCAAACACCCAGGATTTGGGTTTTACTTTACAGCACTAAGCCTTTATAATTCATCATTTTGGCACAGCCCTAAAAACACACAAGTGACTCACAAATTGTGCTATCAGAGAAGATGAAAAACCCCTAAAAGCAACTTCAGCAACCCAAAATCCCCAACCCTCCTCTCCCAGCTGACCCCATTCACATCAAGGACAACCACCAGGTATTTTGTATGGAAAGCTCCAGGGTGAAAATCCTGGGCAGCAGAACATTGCCTGTGATCAAAAGCTGCCCATGAGTGGAGAGAAAACAGCTCTCAGCATTTGGGTTTCCATGCTGGCCTATTTTTAGCAGCAGCCTGAGTCTCTGAGCAGATGATGTCTATGGCCTTGTTTTGCTTGGTGTTGTTAATGCATTAAAAACCTGCAGAAATCCCTGCCAGGTTCCCTTCCAAGAGGCAAACACAGCTGGCAGCATTGGATAATACTGAATAAACTCCTAGGAATATGGATGGGAATGGTTTAGGAGAGAGAAAGAACAAAACTGAAAACTGCAAGGGTCAAAAGCAAGACCAAGAGGCAGAGCAGCCCATAAGCACTGCAGAGCATTCATTCCTCCTCAGAGCCTGCAAGAATTCCAAGGTTTCTTGATTTCCCTGTAGCCTTTTCTAACAATGTAATATCAACTCTAAATCCATTCCTACCTTACACCTTATGTAAATGTGCACTACTGCTTATTTTGTGTACAGCACAAGCTCTACCTATTTATACACACAACAGGAATGTTATTCTTGGTTTTGCTGAGCATATTAAAGCTTTTTTAGTGCTTTGTATCCTGCAAAATCAGAACAGACTTTCATGGGCGCAACCACCCACCCCAAATAAAACCAAAAAAACCCCACCCACCACCCCAAACCCCAACAAAATTTAAACAAATTCTAATCCATGCATCAAAGCATTTGATTTCCAGATGCATTTAAAGAACTGCTCACAATTTTACCAATTACCAATTGGTAAAATTGGATTATCAATTTAATCTTGATGGAATTGGGAATGTTCCTTTAAATTGATTAAAAAATACTCCTGGTTTCACCAAGATTATCAACCCTTGATAAATTTCTGCAGAATGACATGCATTATTTAAAAAGAATAAGGATTTCTTTTTAAAGTAAATATAAGTAAAATATTAAAAATTATAAGTAGCACTTACAAAAATATAAGTAAAATATATTTTTATAAGTAAAATAATAAAAATATAAGTAGCACTCACACTTAAATTGAAGAAAATAGGTTTGGGTTCACTCAGCTTGAAAGGATGGTTATAGAAAGGACGTTCTTCCTCCTCCTCATCAGAAACATGAGGCTTGTTCACTATCACATCATCAGTGCTCTGAGCAATCTTCTTGCATTTCTGAAAAATAAACCAGAGGGAAATGTCAGCTCTGAGTAAACCTGAACTTTCAACCCGAACTCAAAAAGCACATTTCTATCAAAAAAAGTGGTTTTCTTTACTAAAGCAGGAATGGAAAATCTTTTAGCAACAACAGCACCAATAGATGTACTTTGGATATTCTACCCAAATTATCCAACCATGGCTTTGCCAGGCACTCCTTGGTTACTGACTCAGTTCTCTGGCAGAGCAGGGACCCTGTCAGAAGTGATGGCTCCAAGAGAGCTCAGATTCTTCTGGAATACTCTGGTGCTGGCCAGCTATGCAAGCCACCCCTCTCTGATGTGCAACACAACTAAAAAACAGAGGTCTTATGGGGATACCACAAACTGGGAGCAGCCTCCAAGGGGGGAAAAGAAAAGAGAGGAAGAAAAGGACCAAAGACAAAAACTTTCTCAAGGGGCCAGAATGTTATGGTTAAATTGTCTTTACTGATTTGCTACCACCTGCACTGCTCTGTGGACAGCTCTGAGTCAAAAGAACAGAAACATCATTCTACAGATCTGCAAAGCTGGAAAGGGAGGGGAGGTGCAGATCAGCACAAGCTATGCTGGATCCTGGTCAGGGTATGAGAAAAGCCACCCTGGATGTCACCACAGGGCACCTGCACCAACTCAGCTCTTGCTCAGTACGTCTGCTCCCCCAGCCCAGGCACAGCTGCAGATTATCTCTCAGCACCTGGACACTGCTGCCTCTCAGATTATTTCTATGAACACAACTTCAGAACTGTCACACTCATGATGCAATTAAAAATAAAATTAAGGCACTTTTCTATTCCAGAATTTCTCCATTCTGAGGGAAGTCTAAGGCCAGGCTGGACAGGGCTTGGAGCAAGCTGGGACAGAGAAAGGTGCTTCTGCCCATAGCAGGGGGTGGGACAGGCTGAGCTTCGAAGCTCCTTCCAACTCAAGCCATAACTAACACCACCAGAACAAAAAATCAGCAGTGAAAGCTTTGGATTTCACTGACAGGACTGCAGGGACAACCACCACTTTGTACAAAATTAGAACAGAATCAAAACCAAAACTAAGAAAAACCAAAATAATTTGGTTTCATGCATTTCCACAGAATTAAAAAGTAACAGTTTTCATGTCTTAAAAAAACCTGCGGGGAGAGTAAGGGCTCAAAGGAATGCTCAGGCCTTGGCAGGGGCTGCCCAGGGAGGTCTGGAGGTGTCCAAGGAAGGCCTGCAGGTGGCACTGAGTGCTCTGGGCTGGGGACAAGGTGCCCATGGGGCACAGCTGGCACTGCATGGGCTGGCAGGGCTGGGCCAGCCCCAGGGATTTGGGGGTTCTGAACACGAGGCAGCTCCCAGGTGACAGCAGCACAGAGTGACAACCTCCCACAGGTCACCAATCCCAGTGTGCTCACTCCCAGGCTGGATGCTGCTGTTCCCCCTCACCTCAGTGAGCTCCTTCAAGGTGTCCCTCGAGGACTTTTGGTTGGCTTTGTCATCCTTCTTCTGGGACAGCAGAGGCATCAGGCTCGGGGGCAGAGGCACGCCAGACTTCGCACACATGGCGGCTGCGTTGGCCTTGGCGATCTCCAGTAGCTGGGCCTTGTCTAAAACATTGTTTAATTTTCACAGAGAAGTCGTTATTTTTATAGATCCTTGTTTTAGTAATAAAGAAATGTTCGTGGCAAACTAAACAAGGTTCTACCTGCACTGTGCATTTTTTATGTTCTGTGAAAATAACTGGAACTGTACTGAGCTGCTCTAGACTGTGCAGAAGGCAAGTGAAACTGCAGTGTAACCCAGCAGCTCCAACCACAACATCCTCCAGCCACCCTGTTCTGATGATTCTTACTTCATTGATTCATTCCTGTTCTGGCATTACTGAATCCTTCCTACACAGCATAAACTCCAGAGTTTCTTCATTATCTACCCCTGAAAAGCTCTCAAACCTCTGGAGGAAGCCTCATCTCCCCAGATATAGCCCAAAAGCTACTTACAACCACCAAAGAGAAAAAGGAGCTCTGAGTAAATAAAACATGCTCTTGGCTTAAAACACAATTAGATGCAAAACTGTTAGCAGAAGAGTATTTTGCTTTAATAAGGAGAAAAAGGACAGCCCTAACATAGAAATAGCAAATGAAATTAAATTAAGCCTTCTGCTAGTTTGCAAATAACTCCCTAACTGAAAGGCTTCCATGGCAACTCTGAGGCAGGACTGGAAGGTTCAGAACCTCAAGCCCACCACAGGAGGTTTCCTCACACTCTGTACAAGAGCTGATCTCCCAGCTCAAACCTTCTTTCCCCTTATTAACTCACTACCCAAGAAACAGCACAGCCTCTCTTCCTCCAAGCACAGAGAAAAGATGCAGCTCTTAAGATTTTATTTTCTGACCTGCTGGGTCTGGGGAGTATTTTCACAAATAAAGTCTCTCTTTCCTTTATGTTCTTACCATGGGAAAGAGGCAAGACAGAGTTCTGGGAACAGCTGACAATAGAGCCTAGGACTCTCCAAGTGGCACCTGAATTACCTTTGTTCTCAGGGGCAGAAATTCTATATTTTCTTACACAGAAGTACTTGAAGTACTTGGCCTTTACTCTTATTCAGAATGTTCCTTGAGGCTGCAACACGCTACTTTTGTACAAAAGCTCTAGAACCAAGGTAAAACTGGCTCTAAAGAGGCTTCCATTCAAATGCTCAGCACTGATAAACCTTCCTGCTGGAAGTCACTGCCTGACATTAGTGCAGAGAGTGACTTCTAAGAAATCCCTTATGAATGAATGCTCAAATCAGAGCTAAAATCAGACTGTGCAAACCCACCCACCACCACCACCTCACCACAGAACCAGTGGAAACAAAGCACTTACCCAGGTCTGTGAGACGTTTGGGTGACCTGCTGGAGAACTCCGAGGAGCGGGAGCGGCGCCGGTCGGGGGATCTGCTGTAGCGCCTCCTCCCCGAGGAGCGCGAGCGCCGCAGCCGGATCGGGGACCTGCTGGAGCTCCTCCTCCTCCCCCTGGAGCGCGAGCGCCTCTGCCGCAGAGGGGTCCGGCTCCTGCTGCGCAACCGGAGCGATATCCTGCGGTCCCTGGAGTCGGATCTCCTCCTTCTCCTGTCAGTGGACCTCGACCTGTTTCTCTGAGACCTCTTGCGCCTGTCTCTGGACAAGGAACGCCGCCTTCGTGACGCCGACCTCGACCTGCTTCTCCTCCTGTGCCTGGAGCGTGACAGGGAGCTGGAGCGAGACCTGGACGCTCTTCTCCGTGTGGCTGACCGGGAGCGATTCCGCCTGGAGCGCGAGTCCGTGTCGTATCTCTTGGACCTACGCTGGGAAGACCTGGAGCGCCGGCTCCTGGACCTGCGCGAGGACTCCTTGTCTGCAGCTTTCTCCACAGACTTGGACTGGCTCCTCTGGCGAGCAGCAGACCTGGAGCGTCTCCGCCTGGACCTGCGTGAGGACTCCTTGTCTGCTGTTTTCTCCACAGAGGTTGACTGGCTCCTCTGGTGAGCCGTGGACCTGGAGCGTCTCCGTCTGTACCTCCGCACGGACTCTTTGTCCGCTGTTTTCTCCACAGATGTGGATCGGCTCTTTGGGTGAGCAGGAGACTTTGAGTGCCTGCTCTCAGATCTCTGTGGAGACTCTTTGTCAGATGCTTTATCAACAGATTTGGATCTGGATTTTTCACGCTCGGAAGACTCGGAACGTCTGCTTTCAGGGACAACGGAAGAGTCCTGTTCTTCTGACTGCTCAAGAGGCATGGAATCCTGCTTTTCCTCATCTGCCAAAGAGGGTTCTGCATCCTCTCCCTCCTCTTCACCACTGGAAGACTCTGACTCATGCTCATCTGATGATGTGGACTCTCTTTGTTCAGCTGTCAAGGAGGGCTCTGCATCCTCTGCTTCCTCTTCAGCAGTGGTAGACCTCGATTCAGCCCCATCAGGGGATGCGGAACGCCTGTGTTCAGCTGTCAGAGGTTCCACATCCTCAGCTTCTTCACCAGCAGTAGACCTTGACTCTTGCTCGTCTGATGAGGTGGAATCTCTTTGTTCAGCTGCTGAGGAGGGTTCCACATCCTCTGCATCTTCACCAGCAGTAGACCTTGACTCCTGTTCATCGGAAGACGTGGAGTGTCTACGCTCTGCTGTCAAAGAGACCTCCTGGTCCTCTGCTTCCTCGCCAACCGTTGACCTTGACTCCCGTCCATCAGGAGACACAGAGCGACGATCAGCTGTCACATCCTCTGCTTCTTCATCAGCTGAAGACCTTGACTCGTGGTCATCAGAAGATGTGGAGTGTCTACGTTCTGCTGTCAAGGAGGGCTCCCCATCTTCTACATCTTCCCCAGCAGCAGACCTCGACTCACGGTCATCAGAGGATACGGAATCTCTTCTTTCAGCTGCCAAGGAAGTCTCTGCATCCTCTGCCTCTTCTCCAGTGGTTGACCTTGACTCGTGCTCATCAGAGGACTCAGAGCACCTACGTTCTGTTGTCAAAGGCTGCTCCATATCCTCTGCTTCTTCACCAGTGCTAGATCTTGACTCGTGCTCATCAGGAGAAGTGGAACGCCTCTCCAGATCATCCATTTCTTCATCTGCAATAGACTTCTGGTCATGGCCCTCAGGGGACAGGGATTGTCTATGTTCAGATGTCACAGAGGACTCCAGACCCTCTTCCTCCATGGGAGACCTTGGCTCATGACCTTCCTGATAGGAGGATGTGGAGTCTCTACGCTCAGATCTCACAGAGGGCTCCAGATCCCCTGCTTCTTCACCAGGGCCCACACTGCAGTTATCAGGGGACACCGAGCGCCCTTCAGGCACTAAAGAAGGCATTGCATGATCCATCTTTTCAGCAGGGACGGAATTCAAGTCACTGCCATCAGGGGACATGGAGGCTCTATCGTTCACTGTCAAAGGTTCAAGACCATCCACTTTTTCAACAGTGGTGAATCTCAACTCCTGCCCATCAGGAGATGCTCCATGTTCATTTTCAGGTGTTGGAGAATGGTCCCGCACATCTGCTTTCTGAAGAGAGGTGAAACTCACCTCCTGGCTCTCAAAAAAGAGATGGTCACGTTCAGCTGTCACAGTAGAATCCCCACCCTCTGTCTCCTCAGCACGCTCCAATCTTGACTCGCGCTCCTCAGGTGACAGAGCACGCTCAGATGTCAGGGAAGTCTCCTTGGCTAGAACTCTTTCAGCAGGGCTGGACTGCAGCTCCTGACCTTCAGGAGTCATGGAACATTCACCTTCAGACAAGGACAACTCCTGCCCCTCTGTTTTTCCAACAACAGCAGGCTGCAACTCCTGGCTATCACTGGATATTGAACTTTCACTTTCAGATGCTTCAGAATGTTCCTCCAATTCTTCTTTTTCAACAGGACTGGATCTCAAATGATGCCTTTTGGGGGATGCCTCGTACTCGTTTTCAGACAGCAAAGAACACTCCTGCACCTCCTGGCCCTCGGGAGATACAGCATAATGGACCAGCACTGGAGCCTGCACTGCTGTGCTTTCAGCGGGGCCAGACTGCAGTATTTGGCCTTGATGGAAGATGGAACATTCACTGCCAGGTGTCAGAGAAGGTTCTTGCACCTCCTTCTCAGCAGGGCTGGCCTCAGCCACTTCCTGGCCCTCAGGAGACTCACCATATTCACTTTCAGGCACCAGAGAACGCTCCTGCACTTCTGGTTTTCCAGCCAACAAGGAGGTCAATCTGTGATCTTTAGAAGACACAGCACTGTCCGGAACCACAGCCTCCTCCTGCACCTCTGCCTTCTCAGGAGAGCTGGACCTCAACTCCTGGCCCACCCAGGACACGGCATGTTTATTTTCAGACACCAGAGAGGTCTGTTGGACCCGTGTGTCTTCAGCAGAGGGTGACTGCAGGTCGCAGCTGTCCATGGACTCCAGACCTCTTTCTCCAGGCATCTGATAAAGCCTCCGCAGCTCTGTTTTTGCAGCAGGGGTTGATGTCAACTCCGGGCCATCAATCCCTATTGTATACTCATTTTCAGACACTTGAGAAGGCTCCTCAGCTCTTTCAGAAGTGGTAGATGCCAACTCATGACCATCGGAGGCAACAGAACACCTGCTTTCCCCTACCAGAATGGGCTCCTGTACTTCTTCACTATAGGCAGATCTCAGCTTGTAGCCATCAGGGGACGCCAGGTGTTTCAGTTCAGATGAATTCAGCATTTCTGCTTTATCTGCAGGGACGGGTCTCAGCTCCTGACTGTCAGGCAACAGCAGAACCCCACCTTCTGATGGCACAGCAGCCACTGGGGGCTGTAGTTTTTCCGGTGTGCCCACTGATTCACAGCCATCAGCAGACACGGAGAAGCCACTTTCCAGTGAGAGAGAAGGCTTCTGGATCTCCACTTTTTCAACGGCAGCGGATGTCAATTTATAGCCTTCAGGAAAGATGGAACGCCGGAGCTCAGATGCCACTGACAGTTCTGCACTCTCTGTTTGCTCAAAGGAGTTGTACTTTGCTTTGTGGCCATCGTGGCATATGGGAATCCCACTTTTAGACATCACCAAAGATCCCGCACCATCTATTTTTCCAGTTAGGTATCTCGATTCGCGCATTTCCGAAGATCTGGAGCAGTCGACCTCGAGCACTTGTGGAAGCATTGGACCGTCTAAAGCTTTGTCAACAGATGATCTGGACTCATGAACTTCAAAAGAAGACACTGAAATAACGTCGGCAGACACCTCAACAGAACCACACATAGATGTCAGGGAAACATCTGGAGTCTTGACTTTTTCAACAGATAAAAATCTTTGCTCATTTCCATGGGGTGACTTAAAGGACTCTCCTACAGACAATGGATGCTCCTCTATTGGTGCAGTGAAGCTGGATCCTGATCCATGTCCATCAGGAGACACAAAGTGTCCACCATCAGAAGCCAAAGAAGGCTCCCGCATCTGGCCTGACTCACAGCCATCAGGGATCACAGGGCGGATCATCTCAGGTGGCAGGAAAGGCCTCTGAGGTTCCACTGCTCCAGGGCTGTCAGCCAGCTGGGAAGACTCACGTTCAGGTACTTGCAGGACCTGTGAAAGCTCTTTGTGTTCATCAGGGATATGCTGTGAATCGTGACCATCAGACAAGTTGGAGACCCCACCTTTGGACAGGAGAGCTGACTGGAGTTCCATATCTCTTTTTAGTGCTGGAGGAAGCTCTGGACCTTCTACTTCTTTGAGAGGTGCAGTTCTGGACTCACCTTCACAGGATGCAGAGACATGAAATTCTGTTGCTGAAGCAGATATGGATCTTGACCTGGATGTGGAGTATGGCAGTTCAGGTAGCAATGAAGACTCCTGAGCTGCTGCTTTTTCAGTTGATCCATTTTCAGATGTCACAGACAGCTCTGAATCCTGTGTTTTTTCAACAGATGTGGATCTCAGTTCCTGGTCATCTGGGGTTTTGGAGGTATCAAATTCAGATGTGGCAGAATGCTGCACATCTGCTGTTTTTTCAACAGATGAGGCCCTTTCCTCAAGGCTCTCTGAAGGTTTGGATAATCCACTTCCAAATGATGGTGGCAGTACTGGGCCGTTTACTCCTTCATCAGACAAAGCTACTGCTGTGGGACCATTAGAGGATTTACCTTCACTTCCAACAGAAGACTGAGGAACATCTTCATCCAGACCTTTGGCTGACTCCTGAAGTTCAGAAGACTCATGCTTGCTAATGGACTTTGCTGAGGATAACTTATCTTTTTTTTCTACAGACTTGGACCTTGACTTAACACTGTCAGAGGACTTGGAACGTTTCCGTTTGGATTTTTTTGAAGACTCCTTGCGCTTTTTTTCGACAGACCTAGACCTAGACTTGTAACGTTCAGAAGATTTTGAGCGTCGACGCTTGGATTTTCGTGAGGATTCCTTCTTTTTTTCCACTGACTTGGATCTAGACTTGTAACGGTCAGAGGACTTGGAGCGCTGACGTTTAGACTTCCGTGACGATTGCTTTCGATCCCTTTTTTCTACTGACCTGGATCGAGACTTGTAGCGATCCGAGGACTTTGAGCGCTGACGTTTGGACCTCCGCACGGACGCCTTCCGACCTCTTTTCTCAACAGATCTTGACCTGGATTTTGAACCATCAGAGGAACCAGACCGATGCCTGAACCTCCAGGAGTATTCTTTGCCTCCTCCCTTTTCTGAAGACCTGGATCTAGATTTTGAACGGTCAGAGGACCTGGAATGTCTGCGGCGGGATCGCCAGGAGGACAACCTCTTTTCCGCTGACCGTGACTTAGACCTGTAGCGGTCGGACGACCGGGAACGTCTCCGCCCGGACCTTCGGGAGGACAGCCGCTTCTCCACTGACCTGGACTTAGACCTGTAGCGGTCAGAAGATCTGGAACGTCTCCGCCCGGACCTTCGGGAAGACAATCGCTTCTCTGCTGACCTGGACTTGGATCTGTAGCGGTCAGAGGACCTGGAACGTCTCCGCCCGGACCTTCGGGAGGACAATCGCTTCTCTGCTGACCGTGACTTAGACCTGTAGCGGTCGGAAGACCTGGAACGTCTGCGCCCGGATCTTCGGGAGGACAATCGCTTCTCCACGGACCTGGACTTGGATCTATAGCGGTCAGATGACCTGGAGCGTCTGCGTCTGGACCTTCGGGAGGACAGCTGCTTCTCCACTGACCTGGATTTAGACCTGTAGTGGTCAGAGGACCTGGAACGCCTCCGTCTGGACAATCTCTTTTCTGCTGATCTGGATTTAGACCTGTAACGGTCAGATGATCTAGAATGTCTGCGCCTGGACCGCCGGGAAGACAATCTTCTCTCTCTCTTCTCCACAGATCGGGACCTAGATTTGGAATGCTTTTTTCTAGAAACGGAATAGTTTCTGCTCCTAGAACGTGCTCTTTTAGAGGTCAAACGCCTGGAAGTGGAACGTGACCTTGATTTTTTCTTCCGCTTCCTAGACCTGGACTGAGACTTGGAGCGGCTCCTTTTCTGTTTCTTTGAATCATGTTTTTTCTCACTGGTTCTATGACTACTTTTTTCAACAACATTCTCAAGCCTCATGAGAGTCTCCTTCATTCGTGCTGCCACATCAGGTTGCACATCAGATGTTTCTGAGTCTCTTTTCTCTGAGTCCTCTTCAGGAGTTGCTTCTTTGACATCCTCAGCCTCTGGAGTGTCTTCCAACTGGCCTTCCTCTATAAGTTCTGGACCTGCTTCTGCATCAGTCTCAGGTGCTGGACCTGCTTCTAAATCTTTTGTCTCTGCCTCCAGCCCTGCAGCTGCTTCTGCATCTTTCAGCTCTACATGAGTCTGAGGAGCTGTTTCCAAATCTTGTGTTTCTGCTACAGGAGTTCCTGCTGAAACTTTTTCCTCTGCTGCATGTGAAGAACTAAGAACTGTTTCTGCTACTAAAGGTTCAGATGTTTGAGTCTGCTCCACATCTTCCTTCTCAATCACCATATCCTCTACCTGTTGACTCTGTACGCCTTCTACATATTGTACCTCAGCTGTCACTTCATGTTCCAGTGCAGTTTCCAGGCCTTTCATATCCCCTGGTTTTGGAACTGCTTCAGAAGGCTTTATTTCAGAAACACCCAAGATTTCTGGAGCCTCTTCTGAACTCTTCCATTCTGCAGCAGGTTTTGCTTCTAGAACTACCTGAAGATCTTGCTGCTTTTCAGCATGCAGGTATTCTGGAACAGCTGCTGAAGCATCACCCATGGGTACCTCAAGCTTTTCACCTGTTTCAGAACCTTTCACCTCTACTGTTGCAGACTCTGTCGTGCTCTCTAACCACCTCATTCCTCCAGCTTCTGATACTGGCTCCAAATATTTTGCTTTCTCCATTTCAGAGAGCTCACTTCCTTGTGTGCTGGTCCTCCTTGCTGCAATTTCATGTTCTACAGCAGATCCCTGAGTTTGTGTATCTGTCAGTACTCCTGATGCCGTACTGTCTTCTTCCACTCTGGGCAAAGACTCCAATACCGCTGCTGAATGACCTACTACTTGTTCCTGAATAGATTTTGAACTGGTTTCTGAAGTTTGCACAGTTTCTAGGATTGCTTCTCTGCTCCTTGTCTCTGCTTCTGGAACATGTTCTGAATCCTTTCTCTTCCTCAGCACCTCAGTGTGTGAGGGTCCCGTGTGTGTCACGATCTGCGACCGTGCAATGATGGAACTCTCTGTCAGGCCTGCGTGGAGAGGTTCTCTCTCTGCTGTGGCTTGCCATGGCATCACCCCTGCTGATGCCTCAGCCCCTCTAACTGGTTCCATGCTTTCACATGCAACCACAGGTTCAGGAGTCCTTTCTAAGGCAGGAAGTCCTGGACTTGCAACAGTCCCACAATGCACAGCTTCTTCTGAAGCTTTCACACCTTCTACTTGTAAGGACATTGAAGCTGTTGTGAAAGTTTTTGCTTCCACCCCAGCCACTGGTCTCAGGACTCCTCCTGGACCTTGTGTGTTTTCCTTCTGCAAAGACAGAGAAGATGTCAAACCTCTCACATGTGATTCACTCTCAGGTCTTGATTCTCTCAGCAATGAAGTACCTTCTGAATCTTTTGCTCGTGGACTTCTAAAACCCTCTGCCATGTGGACTTCTGGAGCCGTTTGGGGAATGAAGGTCTGTACAACTGCTGCAGGTTCTGAAGTTGCTCCTAATCCTTTTGTCTCTGCAGCCACGTTCTTCCCTGTCAATCCTGCTGGAAGTGCAGATCCCTGGCTTCTGTCCACACTCCTTGTTTCTGCCAAGACTCCATGTTGTAGGAACATTCCTGATGCACCCAGTGCTGTTGCAGAACCAGTGGTTCCTTCCACACTTCTGCCTTGCAGACTTTCATGAGCTGCTCTGACATCTTTTGCTACAACAGGTTCCATGGTTGTTTCTAAAGCTTTCACACTCCCCATAGCTGGTTCTGTATCCTTCATTTTTGTAACAGCTCCTGGTCCTGGAGGTGTTTTGGCACTTATTTCCACGTGGGTCACAGGGGTGGCTGCAGATATTGTCAAAGGATGTTGCAAAGGTACACCTGCTTTCAGAACACTGGAAGCCTCCACAGGGCTGCCCTGCGTCATGCTCAAACTCCCAGACATGACTGAGGGCTGCAGGGATGGCTCCAAAGTTCTGCTCACACCCCCCAGTTCTGAAGGTCTCTCCACACTTCTCACATTTCCCATGTGCAGAGATTTTTCAGCTGTTTCTGGAATTTTCACTTCTTGCCCAGCCACTGCCATGTGAGCTACAGTCACAGCACCTGGATGTGCCAAATTTGCAGGTGTAGGGGTTGTTGTCACACCACTTGCCAAGGACACAGATTCTGAAGCTGTTTCCAACCCCTGTGCTGCCCTGTGAGACACAGACTGATGAGATGCTTCCGAGTAAGTCAACACCTCCATGCTCTCAGGCTCCAGAGCTGCATCCGAAGCTTTTACTTCCCCAATGCCTTGAGATTTCAGAGAGACTTCTGTACCTCCCAGTGCTTCTACTGAATCTTTCTGAATCTCTGATTTACTGACAATTCCAGATGGGATGCTGGACCAAGTATTACTTCCAGTATCAACAACACTGGCATTAATAGCTACGGGATAAATATTTTCATGGTACTGTTGAATTTGTTCTTCGCTAGTGCAAATTCTAGTTTGAGCTATACTAGTATTTTCTGGGATATTAGACTGGATGCTTTCTAAATTAAATGGAGGATTTGCTGCACACAAAGTCCCCTCCCCACTTCCAAGATTTTCTGCAGATTGCTGAGAATCAGTCACTGAATGAGAAACAAGTCCTAAAGCTTGATTATCAAGCCCCTCAGCTGGTTTGGAGCACAGTTCTGGCTGCACGTGGCCAGCCAGGTTTGCATCTGCAAACACTCCTTGCTGTACATTCACTTGGGAGCTGGACTGCTCTGGCACCAAGGGAGGGGCTGGCTGCACGCCTGCAGGCTCTCCGGGACGCGCGCTCAACTTGGATTCCTTTGGTTGCTTTTTATGCTTCTTCTCTTTCTTCCTTTTCTTCTTCTTTTTCTTCTTCTTCTTGCTTTTGTGCTTCTTGTTTTTCTTTGCTTTTTTCCTAGGAATTTCATCTTCACCTGTAGAGCTCCTTTTTGTAGACTGAGTACTATTTTTCACAGTATTTTTGTCTACATCTAGAAAAAATGACATTTACCTTGTAAACATTTGTAAGACTGCATATGAAAAATTCTTTCAGATTAGTTGTGAAGTACATGGACAGAGGTACAAAACAATTAAACTTGCAAACTATGCCCAATTCACTGAAGTTCCACACACACAAACAGGACACACTCCCTTCCCAGCTCTCTTTTCTTCCTCACAGAGTTACTTTAAGTAATAAAACAACAATTCTTTCAAAAAATTACCCAAATCTTGTTAGTCAGGACAGAGGCCCAGAAGGAACTCAGCTCTTTCCAAGCAGTATCATAGTCATGGAATAGTTTGGTAGGGAGGGACCTTGAAGCTCATCTTGTTCCACTCCTGCCATGGCAGGGACACCTCCCACTGTCCCAGGTGCTCCCAGCCCCAGTGTCCAACCTGGCCTTGGGCACTGCCAAGGATGCAGGGGCAGCCCCAGCTGCTCTGGGCACCCTGTGCCAGGGCCTCACCACTCTACTAGGGAACAATCTTCTCCTAATGCATGATCTAACCCTGCCCTAGGGTAGTGAAAAGCCATTCTTCTAAAGAGGGAAGAGAGGATGATTCTGGGAATTACCACCCTGTCAGCCTCACCTCCGTGCTGTGAAGATCATGGAACAGATCCTCCTAGAAGCTCTGCTAAGGCACATGGAGGACAGGGATGTGATTTGAAATAACCAGCACAGCTTCACAAAGGAAAAATCCTGTCTGACCTTCTGTGGCGGACTGACAACATCAGTGGGCAAGGGAAGAGCTACAGATGGCATTTATCTGGACTTCTGTGAAGTATTTGACCCAGTGCCCCCACAACATTCTTCTCTCCAAACTGGAGTGAAGAATTTGACAGGTGCACTGTCAGGTGCATTAGCAGTTGTCTGGATGGTCACATCCAGAGGACAGTGGTCAAAAGCTCAGAGTCCTGATGGACATCAGTGACCAGTGGTGTCCCTCAGTAATCTGTACTGAGACCAGCGTTATTTAATAGCATCATTAATGTATCAGTATTACTTAACATCTTCATTAATGACAGAAGGATCAAGTGCACCCTCAGCAGGTTTGCAGGTGACACCAAGCTGTGGGTGCAGTGACACCTCTGAAGGATGGGGTCATCCACAGGGATCTGGACAAACTCAAGAAGTGCCCCATGGGAATCTGCTGAGGTTTAACAAGGCATGGGGCTGTACTTGGGTTGGGGCAACCCCTGGGATCAATCCAGGCTGGGATGAGCAGAGGGAGCAGCCCTGGGAGAGCTGGACCTGCCCTAGCCCAGAGCCCCCCTGCCCTGGGCTGAGCCCCCAGCCGGGATCAGGAGAGGGACTGGGATTGTGCCCCTGAGCCCCCACAGGTGATTTCCCATCTGCAGAGCTGCCCCAGCCCAGGGAGGAGCTGGAGCTGCTGCAGAGAGCCCAGAGGAGGCTCCAGGATGGGCAGAGGGATGGAGCAGCTCTGCTGGGAGGAAAGGCTGGCACAGCTGGGATTGTTCACCTGCAGAGACTTCAGGTGACCTAAGCATGACCCTCCAGAACCTGGAAGTACTGTAAAGGTGGTGGAAGCCTATTGCCAAGAGCCTCGAGTGACAGGACATGGGACAGTGGGTTGAAAATGAGGGAGAGTAGTTAGATTAGATCTTAGGAAAAAATTCTCCCCTGTGAGGGAGGTGAGGCCCTGGGACAGGCTGCCCAGGAAAGCTGTTCCATCCCTGGAGCTGTTCAAGGCCAGGCTTGACAAGGTTTGGAATAACCCAGGATAGTGGAAGGTGACCCTGCTCATGCCAGGGGGTTTGAAACAAGAGAACCCACAAGGTCCTCTTCCAACCCAAACCATTTTATGACTCCCCTATGTCCTGTCCCTGCATCCCCTGGAAATTGTCTCTCTCCAGCTTTCCTGGGGCTCCTGCAGGCCCTGCAAGGCCACCCTGAGCTCAGCCCAAAGCTTCTCCTGTGCAGGTGAACAATCCCAGCTGTGCCAGCCTTTCCTCCCAGCAGAGCTGCTCCATCCCTCTGCTCATCCTGGAGCCTCCTCTGGGCTCTCTGCAGCAGCTCCAGCTCCTCCCTGGGCTGGGCCCAGGCCTGGGGCAGCTCTGCAGGTGGGAAATCACCTGAGACAGGGGCACAGGGAGTGCATGTCCCACCACGCACACTCAGTGGGGCAGCACCTTCTAACTCCAGGCTGGAGATGTGCTTCCAAACCCCCAATGGTGCACATGGAACATAAACAAGAATTCCCATTTCCCAAACAATTACCAAACTGGGGACTTATGCTGCGAGACCTGAGCAGCCTCTCTCCCCTGCTGTGCTTTAACCCCTGAGTGAGTCCAGTGCTGCTGCTGTGTTAGAAATTCCCTGGGTATTTACTGACCAAATTACTTACTAGGGTCTAACAAATTTGGGAAAAGAGCATCCATGCCCCCAGTCCCAAACCCACTTTAAGGCACTGCAGGCTGGAACAGCTACTGGGACAGGCAGGACTGCAGCTGCTAAGCTGCATGTTCCTCTGAGAGTGTTTGCTTCCAAAGGAAAGTAACAAATTCAGATGACTGTGGGGACAAGCAAATCACTGATGGGGAAGGGAAAGAGGGAGTCTGGGATTTCCATCACCACCTTTTAATTCTGTACCCCACCTCCCTCTGGATTTAACCTTTGTCAGGTTCTCGCCCTTCTGGAGCCCCAGTGCCATGTTTTCAGGAGAAAGGCACTTCATTAAAGGCAACTTGCTGGGATTTCTGTGAAATATGAGCTGCACATTGCAGTCTGCTTGCATGTTCCTTTCAATGATTCTATTTATGCAGGCCAGGGCAGTAACACAGACCCTCCAATTGGAATCTGTGATCCCAAAGCTCGCTATTTTCCTGTATCCAAAATCCTGCAAAAGCATTTGGTAACGGCAATACTGTTAAATGAATGTGACTTGGGATTCCACAACAAATATACCAGGTACATATTTATGGGATAAGCAACTTAGAAATAGTTTTTGCACCAACGTTGCTTTGAATGCATTGAGAGAGAACAGTGAAGGAGAGTCAAATTTAGGGACAAAATGTCCAGCCCACAGATGGAGAACTCAGTGGGTGAGCAACTGGCCCAGGGGTTGGGCACCAATGGTGACAGTGACTGGGGTGACATGGGGCTGACACCAGTCACACTGCTGGTGCCACTGACTGCTCAACAGTCACTAGTGGGGTTCTGCAGGGCTCCATTCTCAGCCCAGTTCTCTTCAGCATCTTTACTAACAACCTGAGCCCAGGACTCGAAGGGATAATTACTCTGCTGAGGACACTAAATGGTGAGGAGCTGTTTACCCTCCTGAGGGCAGAGAAGCCCTGCAGAAAGACCTCAACAAATCAGAGATTGGCAATCCCCAGCTGTGTGGAGTTTAACAGGGGAAGTGCTGGACTGGGCAACCCTGGCTGTGTGGATGGAGAGCGGCTGTGGGAAGGGCCCTGGGGGTCCTGGTCCATGGCCAGCTGGAGCTGAGTCAGGAGTGCCCTGGCAACCAGGAGGGACAAGAAAATGGTGGGGAAGGGTCAGGAGGGGCCCCCCGAGGTGCCCTGGGCAGCCCAGGCTGGAGCAGCCTGAGCTCAGAGCTCCCCGGGGCTGCAGCTCCTCCCGAGGGGCAGCGCAGGGACAGCTCCGAGCTCTGCTCTGGGACAGGGACAGCACCAGGGAGCGCCTGGGGCTGGGCCAGGCCAGCTCAGGCTGCAGAGCAGGGCAAGGTTCTTGCCCAGAGGGTGCTGGCACTGCCCAGGCTGCCCAGGGAATGGGCACGGCCCCGAGGCTGCCACAGCTCCAGGAGCCTTTGGCCAGCGCTGCCAGGGATGCCCAGGCTGGGCTTGCTGGGCTCTGGGCAGGGCAGGGCTGGCACTGGGGGATCCCTGGGGGTCCCTTTAGCTCAGGATATTCTGGGATTCTATAAAATGAAATTTTCTGCAAAGATAATTCATTAGATTCAGATAATCAGATAATGCCTCTTGTCCAACTCCTTTTTGGAGATGGACAGTGGGAATGTTAGCCACAGGTAAGTTTACTGACTTAAAAGTTAACACCTCTCACTTCTTTATTACCATGTGAACTTGCCTCAGTCCTCCACACAAGAAAACAACAAAAAATAAACAAATAAAAATCACATCAAATAAAAATCACATCACCAAACTAAACCAGCAAAAACCACCCACCAACTAAGCACCGACCCAAACTTCCCCATGTCACCCTGAAGTGCTGCTCCTACAGCATAAATTAAAACCTTGAAAATGCTCAAGGTACACAAACCACTGAGCAAAAAGCCCCAAAGCAATCCCAAACTCCTGCCAGCAGAATCACTGAAATTAAAACTTTTTCTGTGCTGCCTCTAGAACTGTACTCACCCAGCACACTGCAGTCACCTGTGTTTGAACTCCCAAAAATGAGAAATGCAGTAATTACAGCTTTCATCACCTCACCAACCCTCCACAGTCAGAAATCTTATAATTAGCACCAGTCCCACAAGAGGGGACACTCAAATGTGACTTTTTAGCCTTAAAAAAACCTAGTAATTTATTCAAGGTCTGAGACTGACAAATCAAAATCCCTTTGCAAGACTGCAATGTAAGTACCTACACTTTATAACAGCAAATCATCTTTCGACTAAACAGTTCATCACAGATCTGTTTTGTAATAAATGTTCTTTCAAAATAATCCTGAAAACCAACTCAAAGCAGAAACTGCTTCTATCAGCATCAGCTTTGGTACAAAGAACAGTTCAGTGACCCTGGAGTAGATATATATAAAATAATGCAGAACTTATGGACACATATATGCATACAAATGGAAAATATTTATCTGTTTCAGCACTGGAAAGAATAAACTCCAACCTTTCCTCATACCAATGTTACATATAACCAGCTCAATTTTTAAATTATGTATTTCTCAGGCCACCTCTGGATGTAAAAGCACAGTAAGGAAAAATATTTAACCACATTTAATGCACAACTTGCCAGAGGAGCAGCCCCAGGAAGCACATTTTCATCTCTATAAATCTGATTCCATTTCAGGCACAGTCACAACCTTCTTACCAAGAAGAGATTTGCCAGAGGAAGTTTTATTACCTGGATTGCACTGCAGCTCTGTCCCGAGGGCTCCAGAGAGCACTTCCTCTATTTTCTGCACTATCTGATCACTCTGACAACTCCCAGCAGCTCCAGAGGCTTCGGAAGGCCCGGCCTGCTCAGCTGGGATCGTGTCACCATTGGGCTGCCCTTCCACATTTGCACTAATCAAAAAAAAAAATAAAAGAATCAATTTAACACAAGCGGTTTTGAGCAATTTTTTGGACATTTTTTGTCGTTCACATACATTTATTATATCCAGCTCTTCAGAACAGTATTCCAGCCCCCTAAAAAAGGCGTGCGCTTAGGGAAAACTCTGCCTTTGGATAAATTCTCACTTATTCAGCCCCGACACTGTGACTGCTGAGGTTGAGACGCAAGGGGAAAAAACCACATTCTGGAATATGCCACATCTCCCGTTCTCGTACGGCCTTGTAGGGGTTTCCTCCTCAAAATAAATACACGCAACGCGCTCTCTTCCAGCTTTTCCTTGCTCTTACCAAGGCTTTACTTCTTTTACGAGATAAACTCGGCAAATTTAGCCGCAAATCAGACAAACCAAACAGGCGCCTGCCCCTACGGGAGGACAGCACCGAAACCGGGGAGAGAGCGGGTGGACGCGTCCCCCCACCGTCTTCTCTCGGCCCCCGGGCCGTGTCTCCCTCAGGGCACCCGCTCGGCCGCGACCCCCTCGGCCCCGCCATGTTGCCGCCGACACGACCCTCAGGCCGCGGCCCGTCTCTCTCCGCCCCGTGTCCTTCCCCGCCTCTCCCCACCGCCCCGTTACCCGCCGTGCTGCTGCTGCTGCTCCTCCTGGATCTCCCGGAATTTGCTGACCACAAAGGACCGAAGGATCTGCTCGATATTCGTCGCCATGACACCCCCCCTTCCTTCCTGCCCCGACGCGAGGCCTCCAGCATCCCACAGTGCACCGCGGCCCCGGGCGCGCGCTGACGTCCCCGCTGTAAGCCCCGTTCGCGATTGGCTGCGTTCGCTGTAAGCCCTGTCGCCATTGGCCGAGGCGGCGTGCGGCTGCGAACAGCCGCTCTAGCGCGGCGCACGGGCCATAGAGCAGCGGCGGGTTCCGGCGGGGGGGGAGGAAGGTCTCGTGTCCCCTCAGCCGCCGCCGCCATGTTGTGGCGCTCCCGCCGCCCCCCCGCGCTCCGCGCCTACGGCCGCTGCCACCGGCAAAGCCGCCCCGAGCGTGTCCCCGTCCCGTAGTGAAAGCATTAAACCAGTCCCCGGCGCTCCGCGCCCACACCGCCGCCTCACGCAGACCCCTTCCCCACACAGACACACCGCCCCGCCGCCGCCACCGCTCGCGGCCCCTCTCGCGCCCCGTACGCCGCGTCCGAGCCCCCGCGGCCCCGCGGAGGGCAGGAAAAGGCACCGCGGCGGCCACGACCGCCAGTCCCGTCCCCCCGCGCTCCCGCAAGCCCTTCCCCGGCGCCGCCGGAGTCCCCGCCGGAGTCCCCGCGGCGGCCGCTGCTTACCCGGCCGAGGCCATGGCGGGCTGAGGCGCGGCGCCGGCGGCTGCGATCGAGAGCGATTCCATCGGTGCCCATGGAGCGGGGCCGAGCCCCGCGTGTGCTCCGGGCGGGCTGCGGCTCTCAGGGGGCTCTGCCCGCACACGGGCGGTGCTGCGGCTGCTGCTGCATCACCACGGGGCCCTCAGCCCCGGCTCCATGCGAGAGGCGCCCGCCCGCGCTCCCTCCCTCCCCCTCCGCCCGGCAGTGACACGCACATGTGCTCCGGGGGCTGGCAGCGGGGCCGCGAAAATTAAAGGAACAAAGGGGGGAAACCGAAGGGAGGTGGATAAATAAAGTGCGCCTTTTGCCCGCCTGGGAATGTCGGAGCTTTTCTGGCGGTGATGGAACGCACAGAAATGAGTTTGTCCGGAGTACAGCTACCCTGGGGACCCCCTCAGTGCTGCCCATGATGCCTTAATCAAATCAAATTTTAATAATGTGGCTGTTCAAACAGGCTGTAAAACCGAATAATCCTACGGCTGGAACTCTCCCCACACACAGTTTCTGTAGTAGTAACTTAGGGGAGTTAGTTGACCTGAAATAAATTTAAAATACCTCCAAACCTGATCTGGTGAGTGGCATCCTTGCTCATGGTAATTACTAAATGGTTTTTAAGGTCCCTTCAAACCCAAGCCATCCTGGGATTCTGTGAAAACCCAAGTAAAACTGTTTAATTACTCTGGTCCAAAAATTTTCACCGTCAATATTGTTTAATGATCACTTGCAAGACCCCTTAAAATCAGCATAATTCTTCACTATGTCCTGCTGATCTGCCTTAATACTGACTTTGGAGAAGAAAATGAATCAGAGACTTGGATCAATTTGCTTACTTCTATGTCACACTTGATTTATTGCATTTAAAGTAGTTACAGAAGTTAAGAAGTCCTTTTACCTGTTTATGCCATGCTCACATTAATACATGTTAGATTTACTGGTAGAACACTATGTAATTTTTGATATCAAAATAAAGGCTGAAAATGTTTCAGTTGGACAATTTCAGATATATTTAGATTCAGCTGATGCAAATGGCCTTGTCTCAACCAGGCATGTCAGAAACATGAAAAAGGTTCCCCAAAAAGGCCAGAGAAGGACTTTAGTGTGTGCTGCATGTTTCCCTCTGACTCCTTACAAACAAAACTAATCTGATAATTACAAGAAGTCTCTCCTTGTACACATGAGGATCCACAGCGCTATGGGAAAATAACTGTTCTTACTCTCCCCATCTCTGCTGGCTGAATAAACTCCCTTTATTTAAACTCTTTTATTCAGTTTCAGTGTCAGATGGTTTTCAGATTAATTAAATATTTTACTTTCATTTTGTCAAGACCAGTGATTGTTGCTGGTAATGTTCAATTAGTAGCATTAGTAATATATAAGTATTACATTAGTAATAGTAGTTCTGCTACAATTATCAATACTACTTAGAACATTTATTTGTGCAACTCTTCCCTTTCAAAGTAGGAGTCTGGTCTGGTGCTTAAATATGCAAAAAATAACATTAAACCTTATTTCCTAAGGTATTTTACAAAGAACAGTGATGTTTTCACATTACAGCTGTTGAAGGGAGGAAAACTGTGGATTAAATTTTGTTTTATTAATAGTATTGTAGCACAACTGTAATGCTAAATTAGACTAAACCAAAGACTAATATTCTTTGGCTTCATAAAGCAAAAAGTTCAAATGTGGGACAAACCAAGGATGTGGTATTTCAGGGGATGTAGAGACAAACCCCACCTTTGCACAGCCCTCACAGACCACCACCCTCAGCCCCTGAGGCGATGGATAAAGTAAAAATAACGTGGGCATCCCTAAGGTCTTTGGGCCGCCTCTCTCCCTTTCTCCACCCGCCTCATCGCCCTAGACTTCAGGGATTTCTGTTCTAAAGGAAACTCCGGATGGCCCCGCCGAGCCACTGCTCACAGGTTTCCGTCCCTCCTCCCCCCGCGGTGCTCGCTTGGTGTTGTATTTCCGGAGTATTTCTTTCCACGCTCGGATGCCCTCTGGAGCACAGTAAGTTCCCGAGCCGCGCTGGAAGCGTGCAGGAGCCGCGGTTCCCTCGGCTGCGTGGCTGCCGCCGTCCCGGCGCTGCCGGTGGCCCCGCGCTGCCCGCGCCGGGCTGGGGGCGCGGGGGGCGGCCGGGGGCCGTGTGCGCCGTGCCCGCACCGCAAAATGGCGGGACGCTCCTCGTGGGGCATCCCCGCTCTTCAGGGCAAATGCCCTCACGGCGTGGCCCTCAAGGCACCCCCCTCATAGCACTCCCCTCATGGCTTGGCCCTCATGGCAGTCTCCTCATGGCTCGGTGCTCACAGCATAGCCCCCACAGCAGTACCCTCAGGGCATCCCGTTCATGGCAAATGCTCTCATGGGTACCCCCCTCATAGCACTCCCCTCATAGCTTGGCCCTCATGGCATCCCCCTCATGGCTTGGCGCTCACAGCATAGCCCCCACAGCAGTACCCTCAGGGCATCCCCTTCATGGCAAATGCCCTCACAGCATCCCCCTCATGGCTTGGCCCTCATGGCATCCCCCTCATGGCTTGGTGCTCCCAGCATAGCCCCCACCTCTGTACCCTCAGGGCATAGCCCTCAGGGCATCCCCTTCATGGCAAATGCTCTCACAGCATCCCTCTCATGGCACCCCCCTCATGGCATCCCGGTCATGGCTTGGCTCTCATGGCAGTCTCCTCATGGCTTGGCCCCCACAGCAGTACCCTCAGGGCATGGCCCTCACAGCATCCCCTTCATGGCAAATCCTCTCCTGGCATGGCCCTCACGGCATGGCCCTCTTGGGATCCCCATCACAGCTTGGCCTGGTGAGAAATGCTACCCACTTTCAAAAATTTAAAAGGTTTATTAAAGTTTTATCAAAATACAAAAGAAGACTGAATAGAAAAAATATTACGGGGCAGGGAGCAAAAGATTTTTCCCCGCCATGTGCTTTGAACCCTTTGGCCCCTCCCAAAGCTCAGCCCATTGACTCCTCCTTCCCTGTCCAGTGATGGAGATCATTTCCTTAAATCTCAATTGGATGCCAGCTCTTGCCATAGCAACAATGCCACCCTCCCAAATGTCCCAAACCCAGGCCACCCCCTGATAACAACACAAGGGGGGTAAAACAGAACTATAAATCTATAAAACTTCTCCTAACAAATATACATGATATTTGCATTTGAATTGTGAGTCAGCCATGGCATTACTCGTCTATCGCAGCCCTCATAGCAATCCTGTCACGGCCTGGCCTTCACAGCCAAAGTGGTGAAATATTTACTTGAAGTAAGTAAATATTTCGTCTCTGGGTTTGGACTTTGATTCACTTGAATTCTTTCCCTGCTGTTTGCAAAGTTGGGGGCTTACCAAGTTTTTAAGCATTTTTTAAAATTTATCCAGTAGCTGTTGGAATTAATGAGCATAGTTGATACTTATGCTACTGTTTTGGGTATATAGCTGAAAGGGTAACACAGAAAGTGCATTTCAAGAGTTGTACTCCACCATCATGGTACAAAACTCTGAGCACTTCCAGCATCTTACATTGCTTGAGGTGTCAAATTTAGTACTATGGGGGATGGTTGTAAAAGTTTATTATCCTGTTTATTTTTAGCACCAAAAGTTGAGGGAGTGTTTTGCCTAGAAAAATGCCAAATCCAGCTGTTTGGAGGATCATACCTGGACACAAGGGGCCTGTGTGGCAGAGCTTCAGCTTGGGCCATGAAAGACACATAATAATGACTTTTTTTCTTCTATTTTGTTTTCTGCACTGCACTGAATGGCAGGAGGTGAAACAAGATGATCTTTAAGTTTCCTTCCAACCCAAACCTTTCATGATTCCATATAGCCAGGTGAGAGCTGGGAATTTATCCTAAATAAAACACATGAGTTAAAAGAAGCTTATTTAACCCAAAGCTCTAAGTAAAAATAGTAATTGCCACCAGATTCTGGAGGCCTCCAAGCTACTTAAGCAGCTCTTCATGTGTTGAAGTCTGAGGAAGTGAAAAGTTTTCTAAGGCTGTGTTTTTTTCCTTCAGGATGAGCCTAATTGTGCCCCAACCTAAACCTGCAGTTCCCCTGTGGGATTCTGGCCATTTTGCAGATTTGGTTGCCATGGCTGTTTATTGTTGTGCCTCAGAGCTGCCTTCACACTTGGCACGGTGAATTCCCTCTGGAAACTGAGCCACACAGAGAAAAAATGCAGAGAGAGTCTGCAGTCTTCCCTCCACAGCCCCTGGTTCCCTGGTGTGTCCTGCCTGGGACCAGGGCCAGGCTGGGGCAGGAGGTGGGAATGGGAATGCAAACTTGAGTGTGTCCTGCTCCCTCTGTCCATTGGGCTGACCCGAGGGCACAGCTGGGTTTGCTCTCTCAGCCTCCCTGGCTGCCTTGTGCTGCTCTTCCCTTGTCCTGGCTGTGGTGATCCTTCACCCCTCAGGAGCTGGCTCAGCTCAGCAGCTGGGAATATTTCCTGTATATATATCCATAGTGACACATTCACTGTGCTGCCCTGCTTACCCTCGCAGTGTCTGCTCTGCAGCACTGCTCTCGTGCTCCAGGTGCCCACATCCCTTGGCACAGGCAGGAGGAGAGGGAAGGAGAGCCTGCAGGGGGAGAGGCTGTGGTGGGACCAATGGGGAGCTGGCCCGGGCGAGGGCAGCTCAGCCCCGTGCACCCGCAGTCGCTGAACCTGCAGCTTGCGCATCCCCACCTGAACGGGGGCCAGCAGCTGGCACACATCCCTGGGGAGGCTGGCTCGGAGCTCCCCTCCTGCCTGCCAGGCTCTGGGGGCACGCAGGATGGGCAGAGAGGCTCATTCAGAGGGCACAAGAGCTGGCTTCAGCCCACGGGGGTTTGGGGCCACACAGCCTGGCTGTGGGTCAGTTTGGGAGCTGAGGAAAGGATGGCAGGGTGGATCCTAGGAGGGAATTGAAATTGAGAGGAGAAAGTTTCAAGTTTCAAGTTGGGAGGAGCAAGTTGCAAGTTTTGGCTTCTTCTCCAAGCCCTCCTTTTGATTTTTTTATCTAATAAGTCTATGAAAAAAACCCTGAAACTCATAAACAGCTCAGACTGCTAGGGTGAGAAACACACAGCCCTCAGTGGGGTGGGAACTGCACAGCCTTCCCAATTTGGGCTTTTATCTCCTGTGAGAATTATTTTTCTTCTCCTGCCTAACTGCAAGAGGAAAAATGAACTTGTCCTTTAGTCCAAAGCCAAGTGATGAGAGCTCCTCTCCAGCTCTGGAAGTTGTGGATTTGAGCCTTCACAGTGGCACTGGGCTTGGGCCTGTAGTGTTTGGGAAAGTGCTGGGCTGTTCTGCAGGCTCAGCTCTCAGAAGGGTAGGAGTTCTTTGCCTCCCAGGGTGGTCTGGCTTGGGAGGGACCTCAGAGCTCGTCCAGTTCCAGCTCCTTGCTCTGTTGAGGGACACCCTCCACTAGACCAGATTGCTCCAAGCCCTGTCCAACCTGGCCCTGAATTAAGACACTCTGGGCAAAGACCATGTCTTTGATCTAAAAAAACTTGGATGCCTGCATGAGTTTTCCTGAATCCCAGTGTTGGGCAAACAAAGACATAGAGGAGCACAGAGGAAAACAACAGCACTGGGGCTTAATTTAAAAAAAAAAATACACTGTGTGAAGCTGTTGTTTGCTGTTTGTGCTGGAGTGCAGAGGTCTGATTGTAGTTGTACCTTTCCTGCTGTAGTTTGGGGTGAGCTGATAAGGCATTGCCTTATTAAAATACTCCACCCAGCTGAGATTGAATATTTAGGTATCTTGCATCACACCTGAGAATAAATTGCTAAAGGAGTTTATGTTTTCTTAGAGAGTTCTGTTCATAAAGCAGACAAGGAGCTGAGTGTAACCCCCAGGTGTGTGCACAGGGTATGTTTGGGAGGGTCAGTGGCTCCTGTCCCTGGGAAGGGACAGCACCTGAGTAGCCTCCTGTCACTGCTCCCTGTGTTTGGAGCCTGTCCTGTGCAGGGATTGGGCTGGGAGGGCTCTCGGGACTGTGGGGTTTGCCTCCCTCACTGGGTTTTCTCTGCTCCACAGGCCCTGCTGGTGAGGAAGAGTTCCCTGGTTTGTTGGTGAGCCCCAGCTGCCTTCCTGCAGTGAGGATAAAGGTCTCTGAGCTGATGCTCCTGCCTGCTGACTTTGTCCTGACATGCTCGAGGATAAGCTCTGGGAATCTCCTTGGCTCCACTCTGTCCTTGCCTCCTCTCCTCCTGGACACACAGTGATTAACTCATTTCTTCTCTCCTGCTCTCACTTCATATAAGGATCTAACAACAGAGCCTCTTCTGAAATGTCTCTTATCTTCATTTTAAAACATCTTTTGAATGTCCATCTCCTCCTTCTTTACCAAAGCAGGCAATGGGTGCAGAAGGTAATGACATCCCATGGTTTGGAATCTTTAAGGATTTCACACGTTGCTTCCAAAAATCCTGGGGGTGTGACAGTGCTCACAGAGTAAATATCTACCTTGTGAGTGACTTTAGCTCTTTAGGGAACAAATTTTTGACTGCTGGATTAGTGACAAAAATAAAAAAGAATGTTGCCTCTTGGGATCTTCATTTTTAAAGTGAGGTCCTGTTGGGCAGCAGAGTGGCCTCCATGACATCTTTGAGTGTCAGTGTAAAATGAAACAGAGGCTGCCATGGCTACATCTGAGCCTCCTAAACTGGCACTACCACCACAACTTCTTCTCAAGCCACATTCCTAAATAAAAGTTGCTAGGATACCATAGTGGGATGCACAAATAACACTGAGCTTCAAAACAAATGTGTGAAACCTAATCTTCACTCACATTTTGATATAAAATAATCAAATATTATTTGACAATAGCAGACATGGCTTGTTCTTTTTACTGCTCCCACAGAAAGCTTTGTCCTGTATGTGATGAATTCTTTCATCTGACAGTAGTGCCAGAATGTGTTACTTCAGGGAGGAGAAGGAGGTGACTCTTGGAGTGAGTTGCCATCATGGTGAGTCCCTTGAGGTGGCCACAGTGTCACTGGGTCGTCAGGCTGTGCTGATCAGCACTGTGGGCTTAGTGGAGTGTGAATTTCACAAGGGCCTTAGGATGAAGCAGGGCAGGGCTGGATGGGATCTTGGCAATGAGGAATTGTTCCCTGGCAGGGTGGGCAGGCCCTGGCACAGGGTGCCCAGAGCAGCTGGGGCTGCCCCTGCATCCCTGGCAGTGCCCAAGGCCAGGCTGGGCACTGGGGACAGTGGAAGGTGTCCCTGCCATGGCAGGGGTGGGATGGGATGGGATGGGATGGGGTGAGATTTAAAGGTCTCTCCCAACCCAAAACATTCTATAATAATTCTCATCATACCCCTTATTTATCATGCTGCTGATTACACAGACTAATTTTTATTGATTGCAAAAGTGTAGATCCTGATTTTTAGATATAAAGAGAATGTTCACAAGCTGGGTAATGAACAGTTTTTAACTATAAAAAAAGAATACCTGGGATGGGACAGAATTTATTTCTCTGTTTAGAAGCAACAGGGTAAGTTGCTCCTGTCCTGCAAAGCTTTTGCCCCTGACTCCTAGAGCACTTGTAGGGAAGCTTCTGTGCCCTGTTCCCAGCTGGAAGGGCTGGAGTTCCTTCCATTGGCTGCCTGCAGGCTCATCAGTGGGGCGGGAGTGTTGGGACAGGGACATTTTAACCAGGGCCTGCCAATCTTTGCTCTCTTTGTGCCTCTGAGCTCCTGAGTCCTGCTCTCCTCAGCCTGCTACACATAGCACACAGTGAGTAGTTTAAAATCATCCTGGTTTCAAGTTTTAACGTTTTAAAATTTAAATTTTTTAACGTTTTAAAAGTTAAAAGTTTTAAATATTTTTTTTTCCGGAAAATCATGTTGTGTATAGTTCAACTTATTATTGATAAAATTTGCCTTAAAAACGACAGTTTAGTGGCCACTGGCTCTGGATACCACTGGCAATGCTCGTTTGACTTCAAGGAGACATCTGCCTGCTGTGTGATCAATGCTCTTCTACCTTACTGTTATATTGCTGTATTCATCTAATTCACCCCTTTGTTGTATCCCTCATTCTTTTACCTTCCCTTCTTGCTTGGGTTGTAATATAAAGAAGTTGATCATCATGTGGTTTCCCAAACATCTATATCAGAACTGATAATTTTTAGCCTAACCTGAGCTTTTTTATTGCAAGTAATCATGGAGGTTTATAATTAAAACACCTCTGTAACTTTGCTATATCTACATTTGGCCTAACACTGGATTAGAAACCTGTTGGTCTCCTGCAGCATGGAACTAACATTAAATATTAGATCTGGTGTGTTTAGTTGATAGCAAACAACTCAGTGTTAATTTTCTCTATTTTATCCTTCTATCCATATTTATTTTGACTTTGTTCTGTTGGGATGTTTTGCCTAATGCAGATATTTTGCCTCATCAGGGCAGCTTTAGTCAAGTTAAGCTGCAGCAGCTGATGTGAGGACAAGGCACATCGCTGCCTCATCTGAAAATCTGCTTTGGATCATTTTGCTTTTCCCTCAGAAATCTCCAGGGTTTTGTTTTTTTATTTTTCCCCTTTTCTAAGATATATTTTGTGTTGTTGTCACCCCCTCTTACCCTCCTGCACAGGGGGCTCTGAGCTCACCCGGGCCCTGGCCACGTGCGGGTCAGTGATCAGCGGTGTGAGGAGGGTGACCCTGGCTCTGTGTTGTGTGTGCTGGGATTACACCAGGGCCACTCGTGGCTCCTTTTGGCCTGAACCCTCTTCTGGGTTCTGTTCCTCCCCCCAGCAGTGGGAGAATGGGAGCTGATCCCTGCAGCCAGGCTGGGAGAGCTGGGGGGGCTCACCTGGAGAGGAGCAGCTCCAGGGAGAGCTCAGAGCCCCTGGCAGGGCCTGCAGGGGCTCCAGGAGAGCTGCAGAGGGACTGGGGACAAGGCCTGCAGGGACAGCACCCAGGGAATGGCTGCCAGTGCCAGAGGGCAGGGCTGGGTGGGATCTTGGCAATGAGGAATTGTTCCCTGGCAGGGTGGGCAGGCCCTGGCACAGGGTGCCCAGAGCAGCTGGGGCTGCCCCTGCATCCCTGGCAGTGCCCAAGGCCAGGCTGGGCACTGGGGACAGTGGGAGATGTCCCTGTCCATGGCAGATAGGTTGGAATGGGATGAGCTTTAAGGTCCCTCCCAACCCAACCCAAACTATTATTTTAGCTCAAAATAAGGACATACATAATTAGTTTATAAAAGATGTCCTTCCTTCCTTCCTGGAAACCTTCAGTTCTAGAATCAATCCTCCCTTCCTTCCTCCCTTCCTTCCTGGAATCCTTCCTGGAATCCTTCCTGGAATCCTTCCCTCCCTGTTTTCTGAATTCTGGTGGGTTTTGCCAGTGCAGGTGAACTCTTCCACCAGTCAATAAGTGAGAGTACCCAGGGCAGTGAATGTCAGGGAGCAGAGGTTTCCTGGCTCTCAGAGAACACGCTGTGCTTTTGCAGTGAGCCCCATGTGCGTAAGCTGGCTGTGCACACCCAGGGATGACGTGAGCACCATGCTCCCACTGGCCAGCACATTGTCCATGTGTTTTTCCAAACCTCACTGCAATGGGAGAGTGCAGTGGATACCCCACTCCACCTTGTGGGAGTGAGCTCCTTTATCAATTCCACCTATTGCTGGCCTTGGGGTTGTTCTCTCCCAAGCTGGAAGTTACTGTCTTGTCTCATTGCTTAGAGCCTTTCCTTTCCATGAGGTGTTCAGAGCTTTTCAGTCATTGCCTCTAAAATCTCTTGAACAGCCTCATCCAGCTCCAAACACTCTGTGTTCATCCTGTGGGTGCATCAGAAGGGCTTTGACCATTGCAGGGTTGGATTCTCCAAGGAATTGTTGCTCAGAGCAGCTGTGGACTCCCCATCCCTGTCCCAGGCCAGGCTGGACACTGGGGCTTGGAGCAGCCTGGCACAGTGGAAGGTGTCCCTGCCATGGCAGGGCTGGCACTGGGTGGGCTTGAAGGTCCTTTCCAACCCAAACCATCCTGGGAGTCTGATTCTCTAGGCTGCAAATCCCAGCCTGGTCACACAGCAGGGTTTTTTCCTCTCTCCCAGATTTCTGTGTCAGTGGGAGCAGTTTCCAGTCGGGCCCAGGATGGTTTTCCTGATGGGTTCCTGCCATCAGCCCTGGGTCAGCTCAGCCGTGGGGGTTTAGTGTGTATCTGCTGGAGTTCTCCAGCACTCCATGGTCCCTGAAGCTCTTGCTCTGCCCACGTTCCCCAGCTGACTCCAGGTGTTTTCCTGTGTCCTGCAGGGCCATGGCAGAGCGGGTGCTGGTGATCGGCAGCGGGGGGCGGGAGCACGCCCTGGCCTGGAAGCTGGCCCAGTCCCCCCACGTCAAACACGTGTTTGTGGCTCCAGGAAATGCAGGCACAGCCGACAACGGGAACATCTCCAACTCAGGTAAAACCAAAAATGACCAATTTTAAATTTGATCATTCAACCAGGATGTTGCTGAGCTGAAATCACAGCTGGTAGTGTGAAAGGATGATGATGATGATGATGAAATCATCATGAAGATGATTGTGGTGGTTTTAGTTTGAAGCTGAGTGGAAATATTAATTTTTGTGTAGTGGTTTTGGTTCGCTAATTAACACTTTTTTTTAATTTTAAGATTTATTGGTTAATGTATATAACTACAATCCCATAAAAAATTTAAACAAAGAAATCCTATACCCTCCCCCAAAAAATCTCTATTCCCCAAAAATAACTAATTTTAGAAATAAATAATAACAACTTTTACCTTTAACCAATTCATCTTTAAAACAATACCCCATAAATCAACATAATCCATAAACAAACTGATGATGGATGATGATGATGATGGATTACCATTTTTTAAGGTTTTGGGCATGAGAAATAGATCTTAGATGCAGTTAAGAAGAGAAAAAAATATTTGAACAAAGCCTTGTGTAAGTTGTGTAATTAATTTTACAAGATCTCAGCTGTGAAGTCTCATTCTTTAGGTTTGGTTTTGGAGGATTCAGCCAGAGCTGTTCCTCTGGGAATCCAGCTCAGGACAGTTGCTGTGGCTGCCACCTAAATTCCCCCTTGTGCTCTCAGAAGTGTGTTGAAACCCCATGACCCCACAGCCTGTGACAAGAACACTCTGTCACTGGGAGCATAAATTCATTCCTTTGTCTTAGTGACCTTAAGAAATCAAGGTCACCTTCAAATATTTCTCTGTGTACTGCCTGCTTGGTTGGAGCTCTGACTGGCTGTAATTGGGACTTTTCATAGTTATTAATTTTGAGAAATCAAGTTTCAGATGTTGCAAATTGAGCATCCAAAATTTGGAGCTGCATTTCAAAAAAGCCTGGTCTGAGGAGCTGACACGCAGGGAAGCAGTCCAGACCACAGAGATTCCTGTGTCCTTTACACAACAGCTCCTGATTTGGGGGCTTTAACCTTCCTAAAATTCAGTTTTCCCTTCAGAACATGTGGTAAGATGTGGAGTTCAAGGTATCTCAGGTGCAGGGGAACGTGGATCAGACACATCCATTTTGTGCACCTGTGTTGCTGTGGGAGTAGCTTTGTGTGTTGTTGTCTTGTGGAACTGTGAGTGCTGCCAGGTCCTTGTACAGCAGGTAATTATTGAATAGGATTCCCTTGGAATGCTTAATTATAGGCCTTTGAAACAAACCTGAATTTCTTTGTCCAGTCTCAGCTTCATGAGTGAGCTCCTCACTCCAGTTTTGTGCTCTGTTTGGCCTCTGAGGAGAGCCTGGAAAGAAGAGCTTGACAAGATCAAAAAGTCAAAAAATCCCCTTTACCCTTGTGCTAAGAGGGGTCAGTGCCAGGCTGCAGGGCCTGTGGAATGGGAATTCATGTGGTTTTTTTTCAAGCTGTGCCTTTTTAAATCCCCCTCTGTTTTTTTCTCTCTTTCACTCCATAAAAAACATTGCACCAGTAGTGGGAAATGCTTGATCTTGAGCCAGGTCTATGAAATTTCCATAGGAATAAATTGTTTTGTTCTGCATATGGACTCACCTGTGCTTTGGGAGAGAAATCTTCACCACCCCAGGAAGAGCCTAGAATTTATGAAGAGTTTGACTTATGTTGGTTTTTAAGGAAAGAATTTGTCTCACCTGTTCAGGAATTCCAGTGCTGTCACTGGGGCCTTGATTTAACTCAGGGTGGAAAATGGGGAAGAGCCTGACAGAAGCACATGAGCCCTGGGATGTTGTGTGAGCAACAATACCTGGGATATCTGGGAAATTCCTTCCCTGGTTTGGGGGTTTTTTGGTACAATCAAGATTTGGCTCTGAAAGTTCATCCTCCCATCGTGGGTCATGGAATTGCCTTTAATTAGGATTGCAGCTCTGAAACACAAAAAAGTGAGCTGAAAATTATAAATAACCTTAAATCTTTCAAACTTTGTCTGTATTCAAGTAAGAAATTTTTTTTTTTTGTGATTGACCTGAGGTGGTAATTGTTTCCAGCAATAAAGTGGATTTAGTTTGGGTGCCTAAATACAGGTTTATATTTAATTCAGGTGGATTATCTGGGCAATTTTGGTGCAGAAGCACAGACAATGACTTGCTGAATGGATAGGTGTGCCTGTGAATGGACTTCACCAGCCTGACACCTCCTCCTGTCACATTTTACCTCTCAGTGTAACTTGTGCTCTGAAATTTAATTTTTTGAAATCCTTGGGCCAAGGTCCTCCTGTGTGGTTCCAAAGCAATGTTCAGCTGTTGTGTCAAGCACTCAAACACAGCTACAGAAATGTCCCCTTTCAGCCAACAACCCAAGAAAAAGGCTATTTGGGAGGAAAGTTAAAATCATGGATAAACAGCACGATTTGTTCCTTCCTGTTTGTTGTTAGGACATTTCTCCACCGTGTAAATCTTGTGCCACACTCCCTGCTCATGCCATGAGATCAGACCTGCAGCAAGAAATCTGGGGTGAATTCCAGGCTCTCTCCTTTCCTGCTTGGAAAGGGACCAGGGGAAATGGCTTCCCACTGCCAGAGGGCAGGGCTGGATGGGATATTGGGAATGAGGAACTGTTCCCTGTGGGGAGAGGCCCTGGCACAGGTGTGTGGTGCTTCTGGGTGAGCCAGAAGTCAACTGGCATCAGCTGCACATGGAAGCTGCTGGAACCAAACACTTGGGCTGTGAAAGAGGTGCCAAGGAGGGGATTTTTATTTGTGTTCTGTCTGCGTGTTCCCCCACCCCACCTAGGGTAAATTTATAACAAAATAGGGTAAATTTATAACAAAATGTAGATTCTGTTGTGGAATCGGGAAAGTTTATGGGAAGGAATTGTTCCCTGGCAGGATGGGCAGGCCCTGGCAGTGCCCAAGGCCAGGCTGGACACTGGGGCTGGAGCAGCCTGGGACAGTGGGAGGTGTCCCTGCCATGGCAGGGGTGGCACTGGGTGGGCTCTGAGGTCCCTCCAGCCCAAACCAGTCTGGAGTTCAGTGATTCTATGAATTTATTCATCCAGAGTAGGGGGAGCACAGTGGCACTGACCAAATCCTGTCATCCCCCTCCTCTCTCATCACTCCCCAGAACCTGGCTGGAGGAGACCATCAGCTCCCAGTGTATTGCCATGTCCCAAGGGAAAGGACATGAGAAAATGGCCCTAAATTACACCAGGGGAGGTCAGATTGGAGATTGGAAATAATTTTTCCCTGCCAGAGTGGTCAGGCCTTGGAAGTTTCCCAGGGGTGTCTGGATGTGGCCTTGGGGACAGGCTTTGGGCTGATGCTGGGTGGCACTGGGTGGTGCTGAGGGCTCTTCCAGCCCTGGTGATCCTGGATCCTGTGCTCCCCTTGGCAGCCCCGTGCCCTGGTGTGTGCAGTCTCCTCCCTGCACAAGCAGCCAATCCCCACCGGGCTCATCTCTTTTCTCCCATGCCTGCAGACCTTGGCTTTGTTTATTCATGATGAAAGCCGTGCAATTGCAGGGCCTTTTGCGTAACTTGGATCATGGGCTTGACATTATTGTCTTTGGTGCAGGACTTTTGCTTTTGTTTGCACAGTTTGGGCCATTCCAAGTGTCATCACACTGAATGTTTGATTTTGGAAAGATAATGGTTGTAACAGCCCAAGCCCACATTTCCTCAGCCATAATGACAGCACAGTGTCCTTCTTAATGAAGTTTAACATCGTGTAAAACAAAAAGTTCTGATTCCCCTTGCTTTCAGAGGGCTCAGTTTAGTGCAATTTTTAGTAGCACTACAGAAAGAAAGAAAAAAAAGAACAAAGATGAGTTGGAATTCTACCACCAGCCATTTGTTTCATCCCCAACACCCTCCTGGCACCAAGATCATAAAACCACAGAATGGTGGAATGGTTTGTGGTGGAAGGGACCTTAAACTCCACCCAGTGCCACCCTTGGCATGGACACCTTCCAGTGTCCCAGGCTGCTCCAAGCCCCATCCAGCCTGGTCTTACCTCTGTAAAGCTCCATGGTGACCCTCCTCAGGGAGGAGACTCGCTGGAAAGAAATTGTATTCTTTTTCCTTTAGAGTTTTTTGTTTTCTTGGTTTCTTTGCAATGCTGTGTGCTGGCAAATGGGCTGTTCCTAGGGGCCAGACCAGTTTGCTGGCTGGCAGCAGGGGATCCCAGAGCCTTTTTCCTCACTCTCAAGAGCAAGGTGGGTTGACAGGGCTGTGGAGGATGAGGAAGGGTCAGGAGGGGCCCCCCGAGGTGCCCTGGGCAGCCCAGGCTGGAGCAGCCTGAGCTCAGAGCTCCCCGGGGCTGCAGCTCCTCCCGAGGGACAGCGCAGGGACAGCTCCGAGCTCTGCTCTGGGACAGGGACAGCACCAGGGAGCGCCTGGGGCTGGGCCAGGCCAGCTCAGGCTGCAGAGCAGGGCAAGGTTCTTGCCCAGAGGGTGCTGGCACTGCCCAGGCTGCCCAGGGAATGGGCACAGCCCCGAGGCTGCCACAGCTCCAGGAGCCTTTGGCCAGCGCTGCCAGGGATGCCCAGGCTGGGCTTGTTGGGCTCTGGGCAGGGCAGGGCTGGCACTGGGGGATCCCTGGGGGTCCCAACAGCTCTGGATATTCTGGGGTTCTCTGGTTTATGACTCTGACAGTGGATGTTCAGCCAGAGCCTTTGCCTGGGGTTTGGGGCTGTGTTTTGGGTGAGTCTCTGTCAGTGTGGGCCTCACTCCTCCAGGTTTCCAGTAACCTGGCAGCCCCGAAGGGGAGGCTGGGAGTGCTCTGTGGTACCTCAGTGCTGAGGAGCACCTGTGGATGGGATCTTTCCCTGGTTTGTGTCTCCAACAGCCGTTCCAGTCAGTGACCACGCTGCTGTTGCCCAGTTCTGCAGGGACCAGGACGTCAGGCTGGTGGTGGTTGGTCCCGAGGTTCCTCTTGCTGCTGGTAAGAGACACAAGCTGGAAATCACAGCCTTCAGAATTTAGAAGAAAAGTAAATTTTAGTCCTCATCTGTGCATCACTCAGCAGTGTCTCCAGGCTGAATGGAAACAGATCCTCTGGAGCAGTTTCCCTGAAATCCAGTTGTGCTGAGGTGGACAGGAATTTCTGAAGGGTAGTGTGTGAGCCAGAAAGCCAGTTTTGGTTTTCCTATCGAGTGTTCATGGTTTGAAATAATTACAATTTGAATCTTGGCAAAAAAAACCCTAATTATAAACAAGCTGGTAGTTTTTCTGCTTAAACCTTTTGGCATCTTCACCAAAGACTCATGTTGACTTTTAGCTCAAAGGTGTCATAAACCAAGGGGGGATTGTCATCCCTTCCCAAAGCCAGCACATCCTGAGGGCCTGCAGTGGTGCAGGGTTACTGCTCCTGATTCCAGTGAGGAAAGCAGGCACTGCAGACACAGATGACTTCTGTTCCTGGCATTCCTGCTCCAAGGAATCAGTGCAGCTTGGCTGGCCTGGCCCCCATAAATCATCTGGAGATTTATGACTTGTTTTGTGTTTAGGAATTGTGGATGACTTGACAGCAGCTGGGATCAAGTGTTTTGGCCCCACAGCAAAGGCAGCTCAGCTGGAGTCCAGTAAGAGCTTTACCAAAGCCTTTCTGGATCGTCATGAGATCCCCACTGCCAGATGGAAATCCTTCACTGATCCCAAAGCAGCATGTGCCTTCATCAACAGGTACACTTCTGGTCATTTTAGACCATTTAGACCTGAACCAACAGGTACACTTCTGGTCATTTTAGACCATTTAGACCTGAACCAACAGGTACAGTTCAGGTCATTTTAGACATATTCTTACTGACAGTGTAAATATCCAAACCAGTATCCAAACCAATCCAATGATTGCTCAGGTATCCATACCTTTGGGATAGAACATCTGCAAAGGTTTCAAAGGATCACCTACCATGACTCTCTCAAACTGCAGCAAGTCAGAGAAAAATGGTTCCTCCTGCTCTAAAATGGAATGCAGGTTCAGTTCACAGGAGAATGTAGGACAAGCTGTTATTTTTTTGTCAGTCTGCCTGCTGGGGAAAGGCAGGGAGCAGCCCAGAACCATCTGTGCTGGCTTCTTATCCCTTTTCTCTACCAAAAAAAAAACCCTGGAGAATTACTCAGCAACTGATGATCTGCTCATCACAGTGCAAGCCAGGTGACCCCAGATGAAATTCCCAAATGGAAGTCAGTAATGAACAGTCAGGGAATTCCCTGGTGGGGAAAAGAAGCAGGAACCTTTCTCAGGCAGAGCATATCAAGAGGAGCCTGGTGTGATTTGTGTGTTACTCAATAAGGTTGACATGCAAACTGAGAAGCACTTTGATTTTTCAACTCTTGAAATGTTCAAAATGTCCCTGCAAGGGCTGTTGATGTTGAGTGTCTGTCCTGTGCCTTGGCAGTGCCACCTTCCCTGCTCTGGTTGTCAAAGCCAGCGGCCTGGCAGCTGGCAAAGGAGTCATCGTGGCTTCGAGCAAGGAGGAGGCCTGCAGAGCTGTCACTGAAATCATGCAGGTGAGGAGGAATGTCTCACACCAAACCAGCCCCTCACCACCTCAGAGCATCACAGAAATTCCTTATTTCATGGAACAGGGTTGTGGCTGGGAGACATCAAACCTTTTAGCCTTTTATTTGGCCAGCTGTGGAAATCTGTTGGATTTATGGCTTGAGGTGCAGTTCCTGTAGGCTAAAATAAAACCATTCTTCATGAAACCCCCCTTATTTCACTTATTTGTATATGCAATTCCTTTTATTTTCACTCTATGAGACTCCTGCAGTCCATCAGGTGCCACAGTGAACTCCTCAGTGATTGAGGTGGGTCTTTACAAGCACCATTAGGAGCAAGCACAGCACTTCAATGTGCAGTCAGATTCTGTGGGATTATTTCAAATGAAGTTCACACTGAGGAAGGATATTCCACAGATGTATTTGGAGCATCAAGATTTGAAGTGAGGCCAAGTGAAGTAATTTTATCTGCCCAGTGAGGAGCACAGAGCTGAGGCTCCCAGGTCAGGCCCTCAGCTGGTGTCAGCCCCAGAGCACCCTGGAATTCCATGGAGCTCTGCTGATCCATGGCACACATTCTGTGACACACTTGTGCTTCAGGGCTCAGGGCCTGGGTGCTGCAGTCACATTTTGGGGGTCTGTGGTCACTGCACAGTTCATGTCTGAGCAGGGCCCAATGTCTTCTACAAAAAAAACCCTGAGTTAGAGATTTCTAGAGACCCCCAAAATCACCTTGGCAGTGTGGGCTGGTTGTTCTTAATTTCTTAATTATCCAGAATATGCAGTCAGTGTGCAAACATTGCACTGGCCTGTGAGAATCCTGCTCCCTTCCCAGGTGTTGTATAAAACTGCACTTTTTTATGCAGTGAAAGTGCAGACTGGAGACTTGGCTGTCGCTGCTGTTGGGGTGAGTTTCAGAAGGCAGAGCATGAGGAATTGCTCAGTAATCACAAATACCCTCTGCCATTCAAAATACTCACTAATAAACCCTGCATTTATTTAAGAACAAAGAGGAGAGTAGGGATTTCACCAGTGCTGACATCCCTGGTGGGGAGGATGGATTCATCATCTCAAACCTGTGCTGCATTTTTGGCTCTATTATAAATTTCTATTTCTTGTTGCATTTTCAGTAGCTTAAAACTGAAACAGAACTAAAGAGATTTTGTTTCACTGTAGGATAAGAGTTTTGGCACAGCTGGGGAAACTGTTGTTGTTGAAGAACTTCTTGAAGGAGAAGAAATTTCTGTAAGTGCATCTCACTGTAACACTTTGGTTCTACCTGTTCTCAATTGTTTGGGATTCACTGAGTGCCTTCACTCCACTACAGAGTGGAGGATTTGATCAGTTAAATTAGAACCATTCCCTGCTTATAAATAAAATTGTATTGGTTAGAGACAGCTGTGGCTTATTTTGGATCCTTGCTGGTTTTATAATTAGCATTGTAAAATGTTTTGAGTATTGCTGCCATTAGTCCAACATTACCCAGTTTGGGTGCACAACATCCTCCAGTTCCAAAGATGCCAGCAGCTTTGTTATTCTGAAGATACTGAGGATAAAAACAACTGCTATAGAAATAATTTTTAAATATTTCACAAGTAAATAGCTTTATCAGCAAGGAAAATGAAGTTTTGAAAGGGATGTAATTCCTTCCTTCCAGTGCAAGGGCTGGGAGGGGAAAGGAAAAAGTCATTTCCATCATGCAGTGTTTTAATTATTTTTTTAAACCTTTTGAGTGTTTTTTTTTTTAAGTGCAACTGCTGATGGTATAATTTTTCTAGCTTTTATTGATTTCTGAAGGAAGGTCACACGAAATGAGTTCCTGCTTCCAGAGGAAAAAGCAAATGCTTTGAACCCCATCATTTATTTTATTGGGGGGGCAGAGTTTGTCCTCTTCAATATCCCTCTGTCACACTGAAAACCAGCTCTAATTTCACTTTAATTGTAACCATCCCAGGAACTTTAAGTGTTGTCCTTGTTTCAGTGCCTGTGTTTCAGTGATGGTGTCACCATTGCCCCCATGCCCCCAGCCCAGGACCACAAGAGGCTGCTGGATGGAGATGAGGGCCCCAACACAGGAGGGATGGGAGCTTATTCCCCTGCTCCTCAGGTGAGGAAGGGCTGATGAGGAAGGGGAGAGGGACTGGGAGGGGATGTTTCACTGCAGCTGTCACTGAGCCTCTGGGGATGGCTCATTCCAGCAGAGGAGCAGCAGGGAATGGGCTCTGCTGGATGGAGATTGCTGCCCAAAGCAGCCATGGCCAAGCAAATCCCCAGCTCCACAAAGCTCTCTGAAGAGGAGGGTATCTCCTCTGAATGACCTGGAATTCCAAAGTGGGCAGTGTTATTTCTGCAGCCTTGTGTCTGATTGAAGTTAGGAATTGCTGCTCATCAGAACCAAGGGCCTAAAGCCACAGTTTTGCTTTGTGCCAAACAAAGCTCATGGTGAATTTTGGCTGTGGCTTAAGGTAGTGTGGGGTTTGTTTGATAGGGAACTTCTGTTGGCAGAAATAGAGAGAAAAACATTCTTAGCTTTCCATTGGGGTAAGAGACCATCCAAGAATTCTGCTTGGCTCTTAAAAACACAAAGCCAAGCCCTCCCTTTTTACAAACACTGATTTCCAATCCTTTTTTATCAGATTTCTAAAGATTTGCTGCAGAAAATCAGAGAGACTGTTCTTCAGAAGACTGTTGATGGCATGAGGAAAGAAGGAGTCCCCTATGTGGGTATGTACAAAACTTTGGGATTTTTAATCATAAGGAGAACAACCTTTTATTTTGCTTTTTCCTCTTTGTATCCTGACTCACACTGGAGGTTAAGGGAAACAGCTTTGATTTATGAGGAACTGGGTTTGGTGCCAGCCTTGATTCATTGTCCATGGGAATCAACAGAGTTCATGAAAAGGGGATAATTCCTCAAGTGAGGAGGAGCAGAAAGGAAAATGCTCCAAAATAAGCTGTAAATTTGTGACAGCTATTTCTGCCTGATTTATTGTTACCATTTCTCAAATTCACTGAGCACAGGTGGCAGCCTTTTAAACCCTGTTATCAACAGATTCAAAACAAGTGAGTTCCTGAGAGATCTTTATGTATCATGTTTTGTTCCAGGTGTGCTTTATGCTGGATTAATGCTCACCAAAGATGGGCCCAAAGTTCTGGAATTCAACTGCAGATTTGGTGACCCAGAGTGTCAGGTGAGTCATTTTGTACAGTTTGGCATTATGGGAGGAGTAAAATCTGTGACCATCTACCACTGTTGTTAACCAGATTTGGGGTGAATAATCAGGATTTTAAATCACCAAGATTTAAAACATTTGGGTTGTTTGTTCAAGGCAGAAGGTCTGTAAGGAAATTGTTCCATTCCAGAGAGGATTTCAGTAGGCTGGACTCAAATCTGGCCTTTGCAAAGGTCAGCTTGAGAAGAGCTCAGCACTTCCCTGTCTTTTCTGGAATGGATTCTGGATTTTTCCTTGCTCCCTGTTGACAAGTGGAACAGAACTCTTGATTTCTATTCTTCAGAACTAATGAGGTTCTTTGTCCTCACCCTTTCCTTTCCATATGTAGCAATTCCTTTACCCACAGAAGTTTTCTGCAAGGATGAGTGTTTTTAAGATTATCTCTCAGGTTATCCACTGCATGTCTGATGTGTGGAAGTCCAATACATGGGCATGTTTAATGCAGCTGCTTTTCCAGCTGCATTATTGTCTTTCCAAGGCCAGGGAAGACATGACCTGGTTTGATTTGCTGCTGTGTGTTCCTGCAGGTGATTCTGCCCCTGCTCAGGAGTGACCTGTACGAGGTTATGCAGGCAGTGATCAACAGGAGGTTGGCCAGCTCCATGCCAGCCTGGAGAGAGGACAGTGCAGCTGTGACTGTGGTCATGGCTAGTCAAGGCTACCCAGGGACATATCCCAAGGGCTTGGAAATTACAGGTAAATGGAGCAGGAGGAGCTGCAGGAGGCTCATTCCCCCCCAGCCTCTCCCTGTTCTCTGCTGCTGCATGAAGGTGAATCATGGAACTGAGATTCATAGAAACCCTGGTTCTGGGTCAGCAAGAGCAGCTGAATTTTCACACATCTCAGTTTATTTTGGTGTATTTCCAGTTCCCCATGCTGTTGTTATTTGATATTGGCACAGCATTGATATTTAATGCCTGCTGCAGTCAGGTGGTTCTGATCAGGGTTCTTGGGTCACGTTGGTGCTGGTGTTTGTCACTGAGGCATAAAACCCCAGCTGCAATCAGATGTTGTGTGCCTACTGAATGTCTGTTCCCACATCCCTGAGCACACAGCTGGACTTGTCTCTCCCCCAGAGGTATTTTTTACAGATTTCTTCCCATTTCCCAGCAGGATCCCCCTGACTTTGTGTATGATTTTCAGACAACAAGTGTTCGGTCTCTCCCTGAGAGCATTCTAACCAAGAGCTGATGTTTTTCACCCCACCCACAGGGCTGGCGAAGGCCAGGCAGCTGGGGCTGGAGGTGTTCCACGCAGGCACAGCCCTGAAGGATGGCAGGGTGGTCACCAGTGGGGGCAGAGTGCTCACAGTCACGGCCATCAAGGAGGACCTGCCCACGGCGCTGCAGGCGGCCAACCTGGGCGTGGCTGCCATCCGCTTCCAGGGGGCCATCTTCAGGAGGGACATCGGCCACCGGGCCATTGCCTTCCTCAGGCAGTCCAGGTAGATATTCCCAGTCCCTGAAATGGCACTCATGGGGGTCAGAAGGAGCTAAGCACAGCCCTGCGTGGTGTTCATGGTTCTCTTGATATTCTGTGTAACTCTGGACAAGTTGGAGCCCCGTCCTTGTACTCAGCGTCAGCAAGACCAGCCAAGGCAGGAATATTTTGAATGCCTGATGTTCTTACTCTCCTAAATCTGAGTTAAACTACAGTGACAAGCACACAGGAATGATCTGGTTTAGGGAAAGTCAACTTCTGCTTCTTGGGCTTTAGATCACAGATTTGCTCCAGGTTTGTTTTGGACCACAGGTTTGCTCTGTATTTGTTTTGGATCACAACTTTTGCTCTTGTCCAGAAGTCTGATACTCAATATCATGAAATGAAAAATCATTTAATATCATGAAATGTGGTCCCAGCCCCAACCTGCCAGAGCTCCAGGAGTGTTTGGGCAGCTCTGCCAGGGATGCCAAGGGTGGGATTTTTGGGATGTCTGTACAGGGCCAGGGCTTGGACTGCATGATTCCTGTGTGTTCCTTCCAGCTCACGAGATTCTGGGATTTTATACATTAACAAAGTTCAAGCTGGCTTACTGGTTCTTTTTTAGCTTTTAGAAATGGTTAAAATCACCTTGAACCCCCTCCCTTGTTGGGATTTACATTTTACTGGCATAGCTGCCTAACACAGGGTAGGATTCATCCCCTCTTTCCATTCCCATTCCTTTAATTGGCTCAGTATTTACTGTAAGACTCTGGAGATCATATGGCTGTGGGTTTGTTTGGTTTTTTTATTGATAGTAGGGAGTCTTGCTGTCTCTTTAATGTTCCTGAAAGCTTCTTGTAGTTTTTAAACTCATTTTTACCTAATAAGAAACTGCTCTGCTCCAAAGAGCTCCCAAAATACCTTTTCCCAAGGAGTTATTTTGTAGGCTGGGAAACACATCAGTGACAGTTCTGTTGCTGCTGGCAGTGTATCCTGATTAGCATTTTGTAAAATTATCATCAATAAACTTCCTAAAAGAACAAGGGTGTTGGTATTTAGTCTTCTTTCTCTCTCAAGTGCTCTGCATCTCTTGACAAATTGATGTGACAAGGTGGAATTGGGATTTGTAACAGAAAAATAAAAATCCAGGTCAGTGAGGCGAGAGGAGGCCTTGGAGCAGTTCCCTCCCACCCCCGGGCCAGCAGGAATGGCTGCCTGGAGGATCCCTCCTGCACAGGAGGGATTTGGCACTGCCCTGGAGGCTGCTCCTGAATGGCTGCAGCCCCAGGACCCCACACTGGGCTGCCTTGGAAAGGACCTTAAAGCTCATCCTGTTCCTGCCATAGCAGGGACAACTTCCACTCTCCCAGGAGAGTCCCAGAGTCCCCAGTGGAGGAAGGGGGATGGCTCTGGAAGTCAGGGCTCAGCTCCTCTTGGCAGCCTGGCAGCATTCAGTCCTGAGGCATTTCACCTCAGGAGAACGGGCAGAATGCTTAATGAAAAGTATTCCAATGAAAAGTATTCCAGAAAATTTAAAGAACTAAAGATTCATTTAAAGAATCAAAGGAAAAAAAAAAATAACAAATTTTAAATAGTCCTAAAAACATGGTGCAAATCTGGTGGGCATTCATCATATTCAGACTGAAAGGGGCTGACTTTGATCTCTGGTTGTTGCAGGCCAATATTTCCTTGAGTCTTATTCACAGCTGCCTGTGGTAATTCTTGTCTTCTTGCCAGTTTTTGGGCAGGGCTATGCTGGGAGTGCAGACACCTTTGGATTTTCCTGGCAATGCTTCTCCTGGGCCAGTTCTTCTGGCACTTGGAGTCTTTATCAATTCCAGATATTCCAGCAATGATCTTCACAACAGAAATACCTTTGATCCTAAAAAAACCCTCCCACATCTTAAAATAAGATTTACTAGGCAGAGTACAAAAATATTTACTCCATTTAGTGCACTTGTAGGCATTTGTGTCTGTCTCTGACTTTTCCAGTGTTTGCTGAATTCTTGACCTGGTTCCTGAGATGGGTTTTGTGGATTAACTGAATTTTTTTGTTCAGCTGAGTCAATTTTAAATGGCTTTCAGTTGTTTTGTTGTACTTGTCCTTGTTAATCAACACCCTTAGAATTTAAACTTCAGGCTGAATCCCATCCATAGGAGAGAGAAAGCAGGGATGGATCTAAAATAGGGATGCACCTGGTTCATGGCACTGACAGCCTGGGAATAACAACTGCTCAACTGGCACGAGCTGTGTTTGCTGCAGTGAAAAGTCATTAAAATCCCTGTCCCCAGAATGGAAAGGTCCCTCTGTAAACATGAGCTGGTGCTTGGTGTGCCAGGGAGCTGTGGGGACACACAGGTGACACCAGTTTGTACCAGGCTGCTGATCTTACATAAACCCCACCCAGAGCTTGCTGACATCTCCTTCCAGGTTCCTGAGCCCCACCTTAGGAACCTGGGTCTTTTGAAGGAAATATATTTTATATTGAATAGAAAGCCCATTGAAGGGAGAGAGGCATGGCTGCTTCTGAGGTGGGATCACTGCAGTGACAAGGAGAGGCAACCTTAAAGCTGCAGCTGGAAAACCCTGGAAGGATCCTGGGGTTATTGATTCACCTTGGGGGTGGAAAAGTGACTTGAGCTCAGTCCTGCCCTGACCCAGGTTCTTGTGCATTTCTGCTGTGCTTGGTTTGGTTTGGAGCCTTCCCACTGACTCCTCAAGGCCTGGAGGTGGCACTCAGAGCTCTGGGCTGGGGACAAGGTGGGGATCAGTCACAGCTGGGACTCCGTGGGTTGTATGGATTCAAGCCCTGCAAGATCAGGTCTCTGCTGCCTGTTTTACCTTGTCAGGGGTTTTATTTTGGAATTTGACTGTGTGATCCCAATGCTCTGATACCAACTTCAACACTCTGGAATTACCCACCTGCTGCTCCTGGCAGTGCCTCCTCAGACAGCAGGATGGGATTCTGCACAGTTCACCCACTCAGGGATGCAAAGAAGTAAATATTATTTGAAAATACATTCAGTAATCAGCTGCCACCCCATTTCTCCCCACTCTTCCAGAGGCCTGACTTACAAGAACAGTGGGGTGGACATTGAAGCAGGGAACACTTTGGTGCAGAAGATCAAACCCTTTGCTGCAGCCACATCAAGGTCAGGTAAGACAAGAACCTTTGCTCCTGCTTTGGTCACTTCTTGGCAGTGAGCTTTACCAGTTGATCTTGATCAAAAGCTCATATATATGTGTCCTGCCTGTTTCTAGATGACATAAAATACCCTGTGGGAAGCAAATGCCTGTGATTTTATTGCAAATGCACAGCTTGGAACCCCCAAATGGCTCTGAGCTCCATCTCCTGAATGCCAGGAGTGTCAGAGGGCACGGTTCAGCACTGTGTAAGGATAAATGCAAGCAAAAATTCCACCATTAAGTACTGAGTTTGATTCCATGGACTATTATTTCTTGCACAGTGAACTCCATCATTTGGGGGGATGAATGTTTAGAAAGGTTATGGGATGTAGAATTCCTGAGATGGATGTGGAACCCACCTCTTTTGCTTGGTTGAATCAGCATGGATTCACCCTTGGGTTTGGGGCTCAGGCCCATCTTGCTCTAGCAAGTCCTTGTAGTTCTTCAGATAGATTTAAAATATTCATTTATGAAGTGGCCCTTTTATTTCAAATTAACTGACAACCTTCTAATGAAGTCAGGTATACACAGAGGGAAAAATAGAGATTTTCTCACACCAGTACAACAATCTCACCACAATTCCTGCTGTGTTTCACAGGAACACTTAGTGAAGGGGAAATCTCTCAGTTCCAGGAATTACTGACTGCTCAGTCACAAAGTTGGGGATTTTTAGGCTTAGGCTAATGATAAATTAAAAAGACAAAGCCAAGCTAAGCAGATTAGGTTGGCTTCTGAATGGCAGAGAAAAGTTTCCTGGTGACAAAGCAAAGTTGTGTTGCCAAACCACGGCGAGAATTTGTGGTGGAGATGCTGGGGAAGCCCTTGGGAGTAAAGCTGGGCTGTTTCTGCTTTTCCTGGCTGGCAGGCTGCAATGCAGAGCTTGGAGGCTTTGCTGGGCTCTTTGACCTGAAAGCAGCTGGTTACAGAGATCCCATCCTGGTGTCTGGAACCGACGGCGTCGGCACCAAACTCAAGGTAAGGTGGAAATCCACCCAAAGGAGGAGGAACAGCACAGAAGGGAAAAGGTTCTGTCAGAAAATAGCAATTGTCCTGGAAAAATACCTATTGGTCTTTATAAAAAAGGGATGGAAACTGAAATTGCCCTTCTTCAGGCAAAAGAATGAAATACCTGTAAGTTACCAGATATGCTGATATCTGATAATATCAACTGATATGATAATATCAGCTATCAGAAGTTGATATGATAATATCATCACTAAATATCAGAAGTTGATATGATAATATCATCACTAAATATCAGAAGTTGATAAGATGCCTAAAATAACTGGGTTTAAATATTAAGAATATAATCAGGAATTTTGTTTCACAAAGGCAGCATCACCACCCTCAAAAAAGATTAATTGATGGGGGAAAAAACTTAATCCCAGGTTTGCTGTTGTGTTTGGGCTCCAAGGAAACCCTTTTGCAGCACAGTTTCCTTCTCAGTGCCTTTTGGATTTGCCAGTGGAGACAGGAATAATTCCTGAAGAGAGTTAGGAGAGGATAATAAACAAAGCTGCTCCTCCAAGAGCACCTGGAGGGATTCTGGTCCATTGCTCACAGACCCTGCTCCTGATTTCAGTCCCTTGCAGACCCTGCCTGTGCTCCAGGGGCCCAGCGCTGATCCCAGGCTTCTCCCGTGTCTTGCAGATTGCTCAGGAGTGCCAGAAACACGACACCATCGGGCAGGACCTGGTGGCCATGTGTGTCAATGACATCCTGGCCCAGGGAGCTGAGCCCCTCTTCTTCCTGGATTATTTTGCCTGCGGCAAACTCGACGTGGATGTGGCTCAGGGAGTCATTGCAGGAATTGCTGATGCCTGCAGGAAAGCTGGATGTGCTCTTTTGGGTAGGAACACTTCTCAGGGGGATCTGAGAAACCTTCTGCAAGGTCTTTTAGTTGGTTTGAATGTGGTTGGTTTCCTACTCTGTGGAAGAATCTGGGAGGAGTAAAAAAGCAAAGTTTTTGCTTTCAGGGAACTTGATCTGCATCACAGTGGAAAGAAACAGTACTTTAAAAGTTTAGGTTAAATTTAGATTAGTTTTAGGTACAGATTTAGGTTAGATGTTGAGAAAAGGTTCTGTCCTTTTTTCCAAATTTTAGGGAAGTTAGGAACACAAGTTCTTTCTCAGTGGGTGTCATTTTGGGACTGTTTATAAGCTTTAAACAAGAAGCTCTTTATGCCCTGGTTTACTTTTTTTCCTGCATGAGCTGTTGGTCAGCTTTATGTTTGTTTTAAGGTGTTCTCTGCATTTATCAAATATAATCACCCCATTCATGCTGCAGCAAGGTCTGTGCTAGGTGAGACCTTGTGATGAAACCACCAAAATGTCAAGATTTTATCTCCAGTTCAAGACTTTCAAACCCCACAGGCCTTTCTGGAAGAGCTGAACCTTCAGCTCAACAAATTTAACTCATCATCCCACTGATAGTGAGGGGGTGAGGGCTCATCTCTTGCCTGGTTTTGCACAATTAACTGTGGATTTAATTGTTGGGTGGCTGAGCACTTCTCCATCCTCCATTTCATCCAGCCCTCATTAAATACAGCTGAAACCCCAGGACTGAAAAAAGCAGGTGAAGCTGGAGCACAGGGCAGGGAGTGCAAAGTAGGAAGAGGAGAGAAAAAGGCAGAATTTTACCCAGAGCAGCTGGGGCTGCCCCTGGATCCCTGGCAGTGCCCCAGGCCAGGCTGGACACTGGGGCTGGGAGCACCTGGGACAGTGGGAGGTGTCCCTGCCAGGGTGGAATGAGATGAGCTTTGAAATCCCTTCCAACCCAAACCAGGAATGAGATGAGCTTTAAAATCCCTTCCAAGCCAAACCATTCTGGGATTCCATGATCCAAGCCAGGCTTTTCCAGCACCTCTCTGCTGTGTTTTGGTCCCCAGGAGGAGAAACGGCCGAGATGCCGGGGATGTATCCCCCCGGCGAGTACGACCTGGCCGGCTTCGCCGTGGGGGCCGTGGAGAGGGGGCAGATGCTGCCCCAGCTGGACAGGATCACTGAGGGGGACGTGGTCATTGGGGTGGCATCTTCTGGAGTCCACAGCAACGGCTTCAGCCTGGTCAGGAAGATCGTGGAGAAGTCCTCCCTGGATTTCTCCTCCCGCGTCGGTGTCTCCGGGGATCAGACTCTGGGTACTGCTTCCTCCTGAGCTTCCTCCCAACAGCTGGCACAGCAATTCTCTCTGGGCCTTGGAAACTTTGCTCAGGCACCAAAAAAAAAATCATTCCATCTTTAGCATGTCTTCATCTTCTTCTTTTCCTGGGAGTCACACGTGCAGGGAAGAAACAAAGGGAGGGGGATAAATAATTAATTGTGGGCTAAAATTAAAAAGGTAGAACTTTGTGTTTCTCTCTAGTACAATGCTCATTCCTATCCAAACTGCTATTTTGAGATCTCCCCCATTTTGTACTGATTCCCATTTCTCTCCATGCTTTTCCCTCTCCCCTGGGCAGGAGAGCTGCTGCTGACCCCAACCAAGCTCTACAGCAAGACCCTGCTGCCTGTGCTGCGCTCGGGCCACGTCAAAGCCTACGCCCACATCACCGGAGGGGGCCTGCTGGAAAACATCCCCAGAGTCCTCCCAGACTCCCTGGGTGTCGTTTTAGGTGAGACAGAAGGAAAGCTGTGGAAAAATCCTGCCCTTGCTGTGCAAGCCTGTGCCCACAGCAGCTGGTCTGTGCTGTAGGAGCTGGACGTGTCTGTCTAGGAATGTTTGGGTTTTTCCTTGTATCTGAACCAGAGCCAGTCAAAACTCTTCGTGGTGGAAAGACTGCTCCCCACTGAATTCCTTCCCCTGGGGGTGTTTGGGATTGGATTTCATAGGACACTTGCAAAAAGAAAACAACCTTACCAGCATTCCCAAGTCAGCTGCACCATTTGCAATTCCCTACGAAATTATTGCTAATTAAATGACACTCATGAAGTTTTCAATTAGCATTCAGAGGTGGTTGTGAGCTCAGGGACAGCTCCTGCTGTTTGGCTTCATTAATCCTCAGCCCTCTCCCCTCAGGTGTGCTGGAAAGGGGTTTCAGTGCTGGGGCAGGGGAGGCATGGAGAGGGAAAAGGCTGGCACAGGTTGTGAGAGCTCACAGGGTTGTACAATAAAATAAGGAATTAATAGTTCTGAACTCATAAACTGCACATAAATCATTTTCCACCTGTCCACTGTTAAATATTTATGTGTATATGCACCTCTGCTCTGGAGCCAGGCTGGGAGAGCTGGGATTGTCCAGCCTGGAGAGGAGCAGCTCCAGGGAGAGCTCAGAGCCCCTGGCAGGGCCTGCAGGGGCTCCAGGAGAGCTGCAGAGGGACTGGGGACAAGGCCTGCAGGGACAGCACCCAGGGAATGGCTGCCAGTGCCAGAGGGCAGGGCTGGATGGGATCTTGGGAATTATCCCTTCCCACCCAAACCATTCAGTGATTCCATGAATCTGTAGGAATTGGGGTAGAACCATTTTCAAAGAGAACATGACAAGAAATTTCCTGTCCTTGGAATTCCTTTCCTGTGCCTTGTCCAGAAGCATTTTTGTGCTGCTGTAAATCATCCTCACCTGGTTGGAGCTGGGGCACTGGGGGATTTTTGTGACAGATTTTGCCTCTTAGCACCCCAATAATTTGTAATCCATTGGTAACAATTTCCACCCTTGATCTGTATTTCCAATTCTCTTCAGATGCTCTCACCTGGAAGATCCCTGAAATCTTCTGCTGGCTCCACAAGGAGGGGAACCTCTCTGAGGAGGAGATGGCTCGGACCTTCAACTGTGGGGTGGGGGCAGTGCTGGTGGTTCAGAGGGACATGGCCCAGCAGGTGCTCAGGGACATCCAGGGACACGAGACCGCCTGGCTCATCGGCAAAGTGGTGCCCCTGCCAAAAGGTTCCTGCAGCTTGATCTTCCTTGGGGGGAAATCAGCAGAAAGAAAAAGCAAAGGGAAATTCCCTTATTTGGGAGTCTTCATGAGGTGAAAACCTTTTCACTGGCACCTCCCTGGCTTTTTTGTGGGGGTATTGAGCTGACAGTTCATTAATCTCTTCCACGGGTGCTTTTCTCCTCTCTCTGCTTCTCCCTTTACTGACACTTTGTTTTGCTGGTTTGTTGGGTTTTTCCTTGTACCTGCTCAGGCTCTGACAACGTTAAAGTCCTCAATCTCCATCGGGCACTGCAAGCAAACAGGTCCCTGTGTGTGCAGAGCCACATCCAGGGCAAGATCCAGACAGGCAAAGTGAAGGTGGCTGTCCTCATCTCTGGAACAGGTGAGTTCTGCTCTTTGCTGCCCTGGGATCCAGACTGTGCAGAAGGGAACTTCAGCTTGGATTTAAAATCCCTGCAGTTCTCCATGGGCACTCTAGTAGGCTTCTAGCAGGCAGGAGAGATGTTGTGCTTGGGCTGATGTCAGTCACAAACCTCTTTTAACCTCTGCTGCAATCTGTGAATCGCTCCTGTGCTCAGTTTATCCCCAAACCTCTGCAGGTGCCCAGATTCAGGCTCCCACTCTGGTCCCTGTAGGAACAGCAGCATCATCTCACAGATAGAGCAGAATTTCTTTTGCCATGTAGGCACTCCAACTATTCTATTTCCAGTGTTCCCAATCACTAAGGACACCAATCCAGTGCTATAAATTACAGTTTCCAAGTGCAGCTGCCAGGAAAGGCCTTCAGCTGTCTGAATCAGCTCCCAGCAAATCAATTTAAAAAGGATTAATGTTTCATCAGGGCTGTTTGGTTTGGTCTCCCCCACAGTGCTACTTGTTAAAAGCCTCTTCCAGCTGTTCCCTCTATTTATTCTCAGTATCCATGAGTTATTCTCTCTCCCCCAGGCACAAACCTGGAAGCCCTCATCAACAGCACGAAGAAAGACACCAGCTATGCACAGATAGTTCTGGTTATCTCCAACAAACCTGGTGTGGAGGGGCTGAGGAAAGCTGAGAGAGCTGGGATTCCTACAAGGGTGAGCATTTCCTTTTGTAATCAGCCACCATTGGCTGGGACTCCAGCAGGAAGGGGCTGATGAGTTTTATGGGGTGACACATGGGCTGATAGGGAGCCTTGGCTTTTCTGTTTTGGTCTGTTGTGAACTTGTGCCTAGGGATAAAGTACCTGACAGCAAAATCCTTCCTTTTCTCCTTCTCTGCCAGCAATCCTGATGCTTTGGGGACAGTTGTTGCATTAAACCAGCATAAAACTTCCAGTTACAGCTTAAACTTTGTGAATTGCTTGACTTCAGGGCATTGACACTGAAGTGCCAACCTATTTTATGTGAATTTAATTTTAAAATGACCTGGTGGTTCATTTGAATGGAATGGAGAGGTCACACTCAGTGGGGCCTTCCTCTGACTGCCTGGGAACTGCCTCAGGCTCTCCAGGAATCATTCCCAGGGCTCCCTGAGCTTCCATGGATTTTGTGTGCCTTGCCTTTGTGTTGCAGATCTGAAATGATCCTGTTGTCACTTAGAAACCTTTTCCAGTCACTGTTCACTGCTGAATACAGACCCAGGGAGGTTGGGGCCCAGAGCTTTGCTCCTTTATTGGTGCTGGGATCTGTGCTGGTGCTCCAGCTCCTCCTTGGGAGGACACAGAGGGCACAAGGGAAATGTGGTGTGAAGAGCAAACAGAGAATCACAGGCTGGCTTGGCTGGGAAAGGACTGAAAGCCCATCCAGTGCCAACCCCAAGGTTTTTATCAGGAAAAAACCCAGTGTGGGAGAGCTGATGGCCCTGGGGGTCAGCTGGGGAGGGAGGGGTGGCACAGGCACAGGGGCAGAGGCTGGTTCAGCCCAGGGCTGGGCTGGGCTCTGTGCCCAGTGCCTGCTGTCCCTGTCACCTGAGCAGCCCTGGCTTTTCCCAAACCAGCCCTGGGACCCTGGTGGCCTTTAACAGGTGCTTCTATTGAAGACTGGGTGCTCTAAGTTAGGTACTGCTGCCTTCTTCCTGCCTAAATCAGGGGATCTATCCTGGGTGGAAAACAACAGCTCAGGCTGGGAGAGCTGGGGGTGCTCACCTGGGAAAGGGAGAGCTCAGAGGCCCTGGCAGGGCCTGCAGGGGCTCCAGGAGAGCTGCAGAGGGACTGGGGACAAGGCCTGCAGGGACAGCACCCAGGGAATGGCTGCCAGTGCCAGAGGGCAGGGCTGGATGGGATCTTGGCCATGAGGAATTGTTCCCTGGCAGGGTGGGCAGGCCCTGGCACAGGGTGCCCAGAGCAGCTGGGGCTGCCCCTGCATCCCTGGCAGTGCCCAAGGCCAGGCTGGGCACTGGGGACAGTGGGAGGTGTCCCTGCCATGGCAGGGGTGGCACTGGGTGGGATTTAAGGTCCCTCCAACCCAACCCAGTCTGGGATTCTGGGATTCCATCATTATGGGGCAGGGGCTGGTTTAGGAGTTTGTGATCAGCCTTTTTTCCAAGCTTTCCTGGTGCAGTTTTTGCCAAGATTCAACTGCTTATGACTGCCAGAGGCCTCAAAGTGGGTGAAACCTTTGGAAGACTTCAGGATGGCTTAAAGCCCTGCATTTGTAGGGTGCTCCATGGTGATCCATGCAAAACCCTACAAATCCATGTAGGTGTTCCATGGGATTGAGAGCCGTGGGCTTATCAAGCCAAACTTGTCTGTCCCACTGCTCCCTCTCTGTGGGGAGGGGCACAGGCTGCACTGTGCCTGTCAGCTGGGCCCTGGGGAGCTGCTCTTCCCTGGAACTGCCAGCACATCCCTGTTCTTGCTTTGGGCTGCCCAGGTGGTGGAGCACACAAGGTACCAGAGCCGCACGGAGTTCGACAGCGCCGTGGACCAAGTCCTGCAGGAGTTCTCGGTGGAGCTGATCTGCCTGGCCGGCTTCATGCGCATCCTCTCGGGTCCTTTTGTCAAGAAATGGGAAGGTGAGCACAGCTGGGGGCTGTGCATGTGCACCAAGGCATCTCAGGGGTTGTCACCAGGAAAAAGAGAGAGGGCAGCAGATTAAACACGGTGATGTTCAAGGTCCCCTTTCAACCCTGCCCATCCTGGGATTCTGTGAAATGAAACTCTTCCCATCTTGTAAGGAAAAGGATGAGAGGGAAAGGCAGTGCCCCTGTGCAGAGCCTGAAGGAAGCCAAGGGCAGACTCAGGTCTGGTAGTCTTTGATTTCTTAGAAAATATTTTTTTAAAGGCTGTGAAGGCTTTGTGCCTCTGCACACAGGAGGTGCTGGCAGAGGTAAGCACCCAGGCACTGAGATTCCTTCCCCTGACAGAGGAACTGCTCTGGGTCCTTGTAAAACCACCAAGCTGGGCAGCATTTTGCAGTTTTGGTTAACAAGCCCTGGCCAGTCCCAGGCCATGTGTCAGGGGCTGCCTGAGTCTATGGGTGGGGTGTTCCCCAGGCAGATCCAGGCTGTGCTTGCTCAGAACGTTCACAGTGTCTCCACTCTGCTCATCTTTTGGTTTTCCAGCTCTTTGAGAGGCTGGTGACACCTTCAGGGCCTGCTCTCCCTGCCCAGCTGTTCCTTTTCTCTCCTCCTGTGTTTCCCAGGGACTCCTGAGCACACAGAGCAGCTGCTGCTTGCTCTGCTTTGGGGCCAGGGTTACCTAAACCTATTCAAAACAGGCACAGCCTGGTCAGCCTCTGCCTTGCAGCTTTCACTGCTCTTTGGTGACTTTTGTGTTCCCCTGGGCGTGCCAGGAACATTTCACACCTGAACTTCTTTTCAAACCTCTCTTTAAATTCAGTAGAGCAAAGCAGACACTCGTGAGAGGCCTTGCTGTGGTTTTGAAGCTGTCAGGTGAAGCCAGTCAGGTGAATTGGTTTTGTTTGTCTCCACTCAGGGCCCAGAGATGGAAGTGCCTGTGCTGTGGGCAGCTGTCAGGAGGAGACACAATCTCTCACTCCAAGGGATGTGTTTGGAGCAGACACTCTCTGTAGAGGACAGAACAGAACTTCCTCTAGTGCAGAACCTTGTGCAAATAAAGATTTTAGTGCCTTGTGATTTAGGGACAGATCACTGATTGTTGTCCTGGACAGTGCAGGATTTGCTTTACTTGCATGACTGGTGTGAGAGAAAAGGAAAGACTTTTTCCAGACAGAAGAGTTAAACTTTTTAAAATGTCTAGAACTGGATTGAGCTTGAAAACCTGAGCTGTGACCACGAGGTGGGAGCTCAGACACTGAGCTCAGCTCAGGGAGCTGGGCCAGCTGCAGGACCTGTCCTGGCCATGCCTGGCCCCTGACCCCCCCGAATTATCCAGGAAGAATCAATTCCTGCTGCTGCTTTGGTCAAAGCTGCTCCTTTCTTTTTCTCTCACAGTCACAAGGACACTGAGTGGGAGTTAGGAAACTCTTTCTTGCTTAACAGCCCTGAAGTGTGAATTATGGCTGTTAACAAAGGACAGGTTAAAGTGTTAATTGTGAGTGTTATAAAAGCACAGGTGAAAACAGAACCAAACAAACCCAAGCAAACAGGAATCCACATCCCATTCTGATGGGAAATGGAGGCAGAGGAGCAGGGTGGTGTTTCCAGCCCACTGTCCCTGAAACCTTTTGGGCTCAAGCTGCAGGGAGGGAGATGCTGATGCTTAAAAAGGGCTTTATTTAGATATAAAGTGTATCTGAGACACTGCTGGACATCAGGTGGGACATTTGCCTCCTGTAACTTGCCCAGACCCCCAAGGTGCTGCCAGGAAGAGAGAAGAGTAGAATAGAGATAACAGAATTAAATAAAATAATGGTAATAAAACCCTGGAGCAAAGGAGGCTCAGGGGGGCCCTTGTGGCTCTGCACAAGTCCCTGCCAGGAGGGCACAGCCAGGGGTGCCAGGCTCTGCTCCCAGGGAACGGCCTCAGGCTGGGCCAGGGCAGGCTCAGCTTGGCCAGCAGCAGCAATTTGCCCATGGCAAGGGAGCTCAGGCCTTGGCAGGGGCTGCCCAGGGAGCTTTGCAGTGCCCAGCCCTGCAGGTGTCCCCTGCAGGTGGCACTGAGTGCTCTGGGCTGGGGACAAGGTGCCCATGGGGCACAGCTGGCACTGCATGGGCTGGCAGGGCTGGGCCAGCCCCAGGGATCCTGTGATCAAAGAAGGACAAGGTGCTGAGGGAAGGGACAGCTACATCAGCCAATTAGTGATTATTAATCCCTGGGGATGTGTTTAGCCATTAACTGTAACTGCACTCTGCTAATTCAGACACTTGGAGCTGGCTGGCTGCTGGCATCTTCAAAACTTGCCAAAAATCCTTTTCACAAATGATTTTGTTCCTCTGTTCGTTATGGCCCTTTGAGCAGCCTAAGAGTGCTAAGAGCCAATAACCTCAGCTCTGCTTTCCCAGGGAAAATCCTGAACATCCACCCGTCCCTGCTGCCGTCCTTCAAGGGAGCGAACGCGCACAAGCTGGTGCTGCAGGCCGGGGTCAGGGTCACGGGCTGCACCGTGCACTTCGTGGCTGTGAGTACCCCCTGCATCCTTCCCTGTGAACATCTGCCCCTCTGCATCCTCCCCTGGGAACATCTGCCCCTCCTGCCCCTCTGCATCCTCCCCTGGGAACATCTGCCCCTCCTGCCCCTCTGCATCCTCCCCTGGGAACATCTGCCCCTGCTGCCCCTCTGCATCCTCCCCTGGGAACATCTGCCCCTCTGCATCCTCCCCTGGGAACATCTGCCCCTCTGCATCCTCCCCTGGGAACATCTGCCCCTCCTGCCCCTCTGCATCCTCCCCTGGGAACATCTGCACCTCTGCATCCTCCCCTGGGAACATCTGCACCCCTGCAATCCTCCCCTTTGAACATCTGCACCCCTGCAATCCTCCCCTGGGAACATCTGCCCCTCTGCATCCTCCCCTGGGAACATCTGCACCTCCTGGCTCTCTGTAATCCTTCCCTTTGAACATCTGCACCTCCCTGGCTCTCTGCATCCTCCCCTTTGAACATCTGCACCTCCCTGGCTCTCTGCAATCCTCCCTTTTGAACATTCTCACCTCAGAGCCTGCTGGGAGCACCCTAAACCCTCGTGTTTGATCACCTGCCCTCTGTGTTCAGAACTTTGTATCCAGAGGAGGTGGAGATTTTATTGTGACCATACAGTGCTGTAGTTTGCTGGCTCTGGAGAAGGAATGGAAATGGATAATTTGTCCAGGAGTTGAAGCTTTCCCTAAGGGAACTTCTTCCCTAAGCATCCCACTGCTGCCTTCCACCCACTGGAGAGGGGGAATAGTTAATGTAAGGCCTTGGCAAAGCCAAAGGCTTTGTTAAACATGGCCCAAACTTCCTGGGTTTTATCCTACACCTGCCTTGTTTCTTGCTTTCAAGAAAAAGAAAAAAATAGAAACAAACAAACAAAACCCCACTGGAAATGGTACAGGATTTGGTAAGGTGTGATCAGTTTGCTCTGTGGGAACAGAGCAAAACTTGACAATTTATGCTGATCAGACCTTAAGTAAAGAGTAGAGATGTCTCAGCTTCAGAGCCACGTTTTTTCAGGCCAGGGATCATTGGTTCCCTTTTGGTCACTTCTCAGGGTTCAAAGGTCCCTCCTCTGGCTCCCCTCTCCCTCTGCTGCTGGAATCTGTCTCAGCATTTTTGCTTTCCCTTGGAAAAAGAGAGCAGAATCACTTTTCCCAATAGAAGGGAAAGTGCTTTCTACTCTCTGTGCCATGCCTTGGGGTTTCTCTGTGTGGCAGCTGCTGAGGAACCACCCCTGCCCAGCAGGGATCTGCCCCAGCAGCATTCCAGGCAAGATCTGTCCTGGCTCTGTGCAGCCCTTGGCTCGTTCCTCCTCTGACTGAATGTCCTGTCCTGCCCAGCCCAGCCCCTCCTGTCCCTGGGCTTTTCTGGGATAGAATTGTTGCTCCCTGCTGTTCTCCTGCTCTCTCTGAACCCTTCCCAGACCACAGCCAGCCCCAGCACCCGCTCTCCCCATCCCACCAGCGCAAACCCCAGCTCCTGCCAGGTCCCCCTGGCACCCCAGGCCTCCCCTGTGTGCCAGGCTGACCCCGCCGTTGCCGTTGCAGGAGGAGGTGGACGCCGGGGCCATCATCTTCCAGGAGGCAGTGCCGGTGAAGCTGGGGGACACGGAGGCCACGCTGGCTGAGCGGGTGAAGGAGGCCGAGCACCGCGCCTTCCCCGCCGCGCTGCAGCTGGTGGCCAGCGGCGCCGTGCGCGTGGGCGAGGCGGGCAAGATCTACTGGAAATAGAGCCGGGCTCAGCAGGGCCTGGGCTCTGCCCCTCGCCCCTGCCTCACGCGGTTCATGGTTCAAATCCCGGGAAAGCCACCAGTGGGAATTGGGGGGCCGTTCCCAGAGGGTGCAGCAATGGCTCCTGTAAGTGCTTCCTCATTTTAATCGCTTCCTTGGCCAGCATTTTGGTTCTCTCAGTGGCGTTCCTGACAACCCCAGTGCAGCCAGGTGGGTCTGAGCAGCCCTGGGGTGGACTGGAGACAACACTGGAGACCCTTCATGCAAAACCACAACCAGTCTGGGAAGTGCACAAGCCTTTGTCACATGGCCTGTCTCCAGCAGAGGGGTTAACTTCCACTTTTGCCAGGCGGGGAATATGGTGAATATCCAGCTGTGAATATCCAGCTGTGAATATCCAGCTGTGAAAATCCAGCTGTTGGCCAGCCACCGGGGCTGTTCCCTCATGGGGACCCTCCTTGTGCTGGGAAGTGCTGCTGAGGGAAACTGCAATGGAAGAGACAGACAAAGGCAGAACCCTCCACTCTCAAAACCTCATCAGAGCAGGAGAAACTGGCCTCCCCAAACACCAGTTATTGGATTTCTCTCCATTTGCTGCCTGGTTTGATGGTGGTGGATCTCATGTGGCCCAGACCCTTGACACACCCTGTCATTTCCACACCTGAACCTGCTCTCCATCAGATGCCAGCAGCATTTGGTGTCTGCTGCTTTTTTTCCCGCAGCATTCCCATGTGAATTCCCACAAATTCAGGGTTTATTTTTTTACATGAGTAGAAAGACCAGACACAAAACATGTCCTTAGTTTGGGAAACATTCCTCAGGAATTCTGAAGTGCCTTTATTCTTGAACCAGAGTTTTCACCTGGAATAACACTGAGGGACACCCAGGAATTACGAACATTTGGAAAACAATTGGGGTTTTTGAGCAGCTCAACACTTGTGGTTTTCTTTTAATATTTTCATATAGTTATGAAACCATTTTAATGTTCTTACTGAAAGGATCAGGTTTCCCACACACAGAGCAGATGAGGTGGTTTGGAGCTCCCCTTTAACACAGAATCAGAGAAATCTGATTTTTAATCAGAGAAAGCAGATTGTATTCTGGGCTCTGATGTCCTGACGGTACTCCCATGTTGGCATATTCTCCTCTGGGATTTGAAATAAAGCCTAATAAATTAAAATAAAAAATTCTATCTACAAGTATTTCCTTGGAGTTGATTCCCAGGGCTGTAGGGGAGAGGAGGGCAGGGGCTGTACATGGTGTGGGGGCCATGGCTCAGTGGGGAGGTCACAGCTCCAGCCAGGGAAGCAGAGGAAATAAAGATTGGAGGGGTGAAATCACTGCCTGTGCAGGGAATCAATGTCACATTATTGATCAGAGCAGCTGATCACTGCCAGAGAGGCCAACAGAGAGAGCTCTCCCAAATCCAATGTCCATCTCCAGCACAGGCACCTTGATCCAGATTCTGATATTTTGCTATGTGAGCCTGGATGTGGAATGGGATTTCACAGAGTCACACAAGGTTTGGGTTGGAGGGATCTCAAAGCCCACCCAGAGCCACCCCTGCCATGGCAGGGACACCTCCCACTGTCCCCAGTGTCCAGCCTGGCCTTGGGCACTGCCAGGGATCCAGGGGCAGCCCCAGCTGCTCTGGGCACCCTGTGCCAGGGCCTGCCCACCCTGCCAGGGAACAATTCCTCATGGCCAAGATCCCACCCAGCCCTGCCCTCTGGCACTGGCAGCCATTCCCTGGGTGCTGTCCCTGCAGGCCTTGTCCCCAGTCCCTCTGCAGCTCTCCTGGAGCCCCTGCAGGCCCTGCCAGGGGCTCTGAGCTCTCCCTGCAGCTGCTCCTGTCCAGGTGAGCACCCCCAGCTCTCCCCTCTGGCTCCAGAGGGGCTCCAGCCCTGGGACAGTCCATGGCTCCTCTGGGCTCTCTCCAGCAGCTCCATGACCCTGTTGTCCCACTCTTGCAGGAGCAGATCCTGTTTGGGTTTACTCTGGGAAGCTCCCACTGCTCTGCCACAGAAATGGATGCCTTGGATGGATGAATTCCCCTTGGAAACACCAGATCAGTTTTACAGCTCGAGCTCCGTTCATGTAAAACATTTTCTCCTTTACAAGTTGAAAAACCGAACGAAGGAATTCCAAACCTAAAAAGCCAGCCCGGCTCCCACCATGGATTTTCCAAGGGATGTGTAACAAAAGCTGTGATCTCAGGGAAAAGGCTGGGAAGGAAAACTTGAGATACTGAGACATCCAAGAGAAGGACATGGAGGAGAAGGGAAGAGGAGGAAAAACGAGCAGAATCTGAGCCCCTCAGGGACCTGCCCAGAGCGCCTCAAGGATCCGCCCAGAGCCCCTCAGGGCCTGGTCCAGAAGGACCCACCCAGAGCCCCTCAGGGATCTGCCCAGAGCTTTCCCTCGGAAAAAGAGGGTGGAATAATTGAAGGGAGCCCGGAGCCCTTCAAAGATCTGGCCAGAGCCCCTCAAGGACCTCCCCAGAGCCCCTCAGGGACCGGCCCAGAGCCCCTCAGGGTCCTCAAGGACCTGCCCAGAGCCCCTCGTGGACCTCTCCAGAGCCCCTCAAGGATCTGCCCAGAGCCCCGGAGCCCCTCAGGGACCCGCCCGGAGCCCCTCAGGGACCCGCCCGGAGCCCCTCAGGGACCCGCCCGGAGCCCCTCAGGGACCCGCCCGGAGCCCCTCAGGGACCCGCCCGGAGCCCCTCAGGGACCCGCCCGGAGCCCCTCAGGGACCCGCCCGGAGCCCCTCAAGGATCTGCCCGGAGCCCCTCAGGGACCCGCCCGGAGCTCCTGGCGTTCCGGAGGCTCCCCGGGAGAGGCCGCTCCGCGTCCCTGCTCCTCCTCCGGGCTCAGGCTCTGGCTCTGCCGCCTCCAGCACGTTCTTCCGTGGGCTCCCAGCCATGCGGCCCCGCTGGCCACGAGCTGCAGGGCCAGGGGGAATGCCCTGAGCTCGGCCTCCTGCAGCCGCTCGCCCAGCGCTGCCTCCGTGTCCCCCGGCCCCGCGGGCAGCGGCTCCCGGCGGATGGCGGCGCCGGCGCCCGGCTCCTCCTGCGGGCACAGAGCGAGGGAGGCCCGGGCAGCACCGGGGAAGGGGCTGGGGCTGGGGTGTGCGGGAAGAAAGGATTTCTGCTCCTCCTGGCAGAAGGAGAAATGGGAAAATCCCACCCCAAAATGTAAGGGAGGAAGACAGGGCTTCAAGCAACCCCAAATCTTCCTGGTTTTTACTGGTAACAATCCCAAGGTTCCCACCCCTTCCCACAACCTCTTACCTCTGCCTGTTTCTGCCCTCAGAAAGAAAAGGAAAAAAGCAAATTGCTGACTTCCAAATTTTCCTAGTTTCCCAGTTTTGAGGCCACTCACCAGGACAAAATGCACGGTGCAGCCGGTGACTTTGAACCCACTTTCCAGGGGCTCTTGCTGGGCATTCCCATCCTTGATGAATGGAAAGAGCGATGGAGAAGCATTCAAAATTTTCCCTGGGCATCAGTGTGAGAGGAGAAAAAAAAAAAGAAAAAAAGAGATAATTTGAACTGAATTTCCTTAAAAATAAAATGAGATGTGATCATCAGTGCAAACCCTGAGCATCACTGCTCTGCTCAGAGGGAATTCTGCTCTTCCAGGAGCAGGGGTGCAGCAACATTCCCAAAGGAGCCTGTGCAGGCTGTCAGCGAGTGAGTAACTCCTGAGCAAGGCCTCAGGAGCTGGCACTAACTCACTGCTCACCCCTCACTGACTTAGGGCACACACAGAGCCATGTCAGGGTGTCAGCAGGACACCACAGGAGGGAGAAATCCCTCCTGGGAATGGATAAATCCATCTTTCTCCCATTTTCCTCGGAGTGGGAACTGCAGGACTCCCCAGCACAGCTCCCTGGCAAAGGATGGAACCAAGCTCCTTCCCTGGGGAAGGCACAGAGCCACCCCATGCCCCCAGTTTGCCCCTCTCTCACTGCTGAGGCAGCACAAGGCAATCCTCAGCCAGAATCCCAGCACAGCCCCACTGCCAGAGGGAAGGGAAGCAGAATCCCATATTCAGAATTCCCACACCAGAATTCCCACAGTCCCACTGCCAGAGGGAAGGGAAGCAGAATCCCATATTCAGAATCCCCACAGTCCCACTGCCAGAGGGAATGGAAGCAGAATCCCATATTCAGAATTCCCACAGTCCCACTGCCAGAGGGAATGGAAGCAGAATCCCAGCACAGCCCCACTGCCAGAGGGAATGGAAGCAGAATCCCATATTCAGAATCCCCACAGTCCCACTGCCAGAGGGAAAGGAAGCAGAATCCCATATTCAGAATCCCCACAGTCCCACTGCCAGAGGGAAGCACAGGGTCTCCTTCCTGGAATGTCAGCAGTAATCAAAGGACAAGGAACTCTGACAGTGGAATCCTGGTGAGACCAACCACCCCTGCTTTAGTTTCTCTTTTACATTTGGTTCCTTACCTTTCCATTTTCGGAGAAAAGGGCTGGACAGAACTCTCATGAACCCTGACAGGCAGATCAGCTCCACAGAGAATTCCTCCAGGACTCGGTCAATGGTGCCGTCGAATTCCGAGCGACTCCCGTACAATTTGTGATCAATCACCTGGGGCAGTGAGACACAACAAAAGGTGGGATTGGGAGCAGCTGCTTGGGCAACAGTGAGGAACAAACCAGATTAATTCCAGGACACTCCGTGATTTAAAAAGAGGGTGCAGTGAGGTGGGGTCGCTCTTTTCTGCCATGTCCCAGGTGAAAGGGTGGGAGGAAATGGCCCTAAATTGTACCAGGGGAAGTTCACACTGGAGATTAGAAACAATTTTTCCCTTTTAAGAGTGGTCAGGCGCTGGAATGAGTTGCCCAGGGAGGTGGTGGAGTCAATTGGCCAGACCCTCTGGGGAAGGGGAGGAGATCCTTTATTTCTACCCCACCTCCCACTTTCAGCCCCCCAGGTGAGTGCTGAGTCCTGACTCTCCTGAGGACCTTCAAACAAGGGGCTCACAAAACTTTGTGCTCTTGCCTGTGAAAATGTGAGGGAATTTTGGTATAGCTTTTTTTTTTTTTTAGACATGAGTCATTAAAATATCACATGAATCCAACTCAGGAGCTGAAGAA